AGAAAAAAATTGCATCTTTTTTTCTCTTATTCCTTAGCGTCGGCCGTGTATGAACCTTTAATTCAGTGCCAACAGACACCAAGAAAGATCTACAGCTATTAAATGAGCCTTTCAAGAACACTATAAATACGAGCACCAAATTTGAGCTTATAAAAACATACCCACAGTGAAAGAAAGAGAAGAAAAAAAACCCTAATTGGCTTCCCTGTGTGTGTGCAATGGCAAGAAGTGTGTCTTCGGAGCCTCTTGTTGTTGGGAGAGTGATCGGAGATGTTCTTGATTCCTTCACCCAAACCATGAAGATGACTGTTTCTTACAACAATAAGCAAGTTTTTAATGGCCATGAGTTCTTTCCTTCTGCTGTTGCTGCTAAACCTAAGGCTGAAATCCTTGGTGGTGACTTGAGATCTTTCTTCACTTTGGTGACCTTTCTTCTCCCTCTCTCTCTATCAATTCTTCATTTCTATATTCCATTTATCCCCATGTTTCTCTTTCTGTGTCTACGATTGACCCGATTGTAACCTTATCATATTAAAATTTTAAGATGTTTACCTGAACGAACCTCACTAGTTTAAGACATGTCTCGGTCAAAAGTACGAATTCTTCATTGTTAAACAAAAAAAAAAAAACTTTTTTTGAGTTGGGTTATCTGTCTACCTAAGTATGTCTGTTTTGACTTGTTAAGTATTACTATTGGCTTTGCGTTTTTCACACCCTTATAAATAATGTTTCGTTCTTCTCTCCAATTGACGTGGGATCTCACAATCCACCCCTTTCGATACCCAATATCCTCGTTGACATACTGTTCGGTGCCTAATTCTGATACTATTTGTAAAAGTACAAACCCACTGTGATATTGTCGGTTTTGACTTGTTACGTATTGACGTTAGCTTTACGGTTTTAAAACCCGTCTGCTAGGAAGAGATTTCCACATCTTTATAGAGAATGTTTTGTTTCCCTCTTCAAGCGATGTGAGACCTTATACCACTCATACCTCAATTAGTTAAGACAGTATATCTTGAATAAATGATTAAATTTATTATAATATTTCATTCACCAATTTAAGTATAGTTCAGTTACTAGGGTAGCGGGTAAGTTTTGAGAAATTATTTAGATACGTTTTCTCTCATCTCTCAATGATTTCATTTCATTTTTTCTTGTTTCAGGTCATGACAGACCCAGATGTTCCAGGACCTAGTGATCCTTATTTAAGAGAGCATTTACACTGGTAACTTTTTTTTTTTTAACTAAAATTCACACCGGTAATTAAACATTTACAATGTTACTGTCACAGTTATTTTACAAATATTGCATGTGCATGAAACCGACCAAATTTGACTTCACAAGAATTAATACTGAGAAAATCGTTGTCGTGTTTCATTGTCGTTGGAGGATGAAATTCTCTTGGATTTTAGCGAATTTTGCTTATTTATTTTTCTTTCATTTTCATGTAAACTAAATCAAATAACTTTTAATATAACCTATGGTTTGTCTTTTACATTTATTATAACATATTTAAAAAAAAAAATACCACTATTATATAGTTGGAACTTGGAAGATCAGCATAATTAGTGGACTGGATTCCTTTGGTGTCTTAATTTAGACCAAATTTGTCAACTTTAAGCTTAATTTCAATTTTAGAAAAATTTAATACATGTTTTATTCAATATATATCGAGATGTCTCGAAGCCCTTCGATCCACGAGCAACATCATGACTATATTATTAGAGAAATCTCTATTAATAAACTGAAGTTTTGATTTTGAAACTGTATCGTGCATTCACGTGCAGTGCGAAAAGGAACCATGTAGTTGTTGATGAAATTTTTATTTGTTTGAATAATTATCGATCGATTTGGGTTTGCTTGTAAACTTTTAATATAATTTATCTAATATTGTATTGAATAATTATAATTATAAATAATTAATAATAATTTTATTAACAACCCAAAGAAAATAAAGAGGTGAGTTGAGTTAGGGTTGTGAAAAATTTCGAGTTGGGTTGAATTACCAATCCAACCAACCTTAATTTTTGAGTTGTCCAAAAAACTCCCTCGACCTAACTCAACTTGACCCATTACACCCATAATATTACTTATATATATATATATATATATGTAAGTGCTTACCGTGCCTCGTGATAAGGAACTACCTAGGCCAGCAGCTAACTCCGATATGTAAATTTAGATATCTTCGTTAAACCACTTATTTAATATCTAGCTTCTGAATGGGGAGACGGCCGTGAAGAAGGGTTATTGGGTTTTTATAAAGGTAACTAACCGTTTTTACTGAACAATCTCTATGGCAGGATCGTGACAGACATCCCTGGGACTACGGATGCCACATTCGGTAACTTTTTTAGAGAACGTGGTAAAATGTTTTTAACTCAAAACAGGTAAATTTTGTTAATGGGGTTTGAATGAAACACAGGAAGGGAGGTAATAAGCTACGAGACTCCAAAGCCAAACATAGGAATCCACAGGTTCGTTTTTGTGCTGTTCAAACAGAAGCGAAGACAAACCGTGAGCGCACCCTCTTCAAGGGACCATTTCAGCACGCGAGTCTTCGCTGCCGAAAACGACCTCGGCAACCCCGTTGCTGCCGTCTACTTCAATGCTCAGAGAGAAACTGCCGCCAGACGACGCTAAAACCGCCGCGGACGGCGGCCCCAGCTGGTTGTAGAAGACAAAAAGAAAAGAAAAAAATATATATATAATGATGGGTCTTCCATTTCCCTAAAGAATAATAATAATAATAATCACTAAAGGGTGGGAGTTTCAGATTTGTATATTCTAAAAAATATATATATGTATGGATCAGGGTAAATAATTTGGACACGAAGAAAGGTAGAAAACGGCGTCGTTTTCTTTTCCTTTCTCGTGTGTCTAGTTGTGCATGTATTTCGCTGGCTCGGTTTAGTAACATTTCTATTTCTTGTTTCTTTTTCCTTTTTTTTCGGAAAATAATTAATTAAAAATGAAAAAAATGTCGCAAGAAAATATTTACTCTCAGACAATCAAATTTAAAAAGAATAAAAAATAGAAATTATTCTAATTAGAACAAGTTGTCCAATAAAACTCTAATATTTGGTTCCAATTGATTACAAATATTTAGATAATAAATTAATTAAGTGTTTAGTGCAAGCTTACATTTCACTACTAATAATGGGTTATTATAAAATAAAAGATGTGATTTCTATTAAATAAATGTATATAATATATCGACAAAATAAAAATATACACATTAATGAAAATGCCTTTACCTAAAATTCCAATATTCTTTTCAACTAATGAATAAATAAATTATAGATAAAATTTCAATATTTAAAAATCCAAAATTGAACAGCCCGAAGAATCCTACGTCAGCTGAATTAGGGTTTAGTTTTCTCATTGACTTTTTAAAAGGTGTTTGAAATCACATATTCAAACGAGGATTGATGCCTTGTTTCTAAATTATTGTTTGTTAAAATATTATTTTAGTTTTTATAGTTTCAATTTTGCATAATGTTTTAATTTAAAATTAATTTTCGTGGGAGAAAATATAGATATAAATATATTTTCAAAATTTATTAAAAGAATGTAACTTATTTAATATTATAATTAATTAATGAATCGAATTTATCTAAAGTGATAGTGCTTTATTTATTTGTATTAATTCAAACCAAAATAGAGTCTTCGTTGAAGAGTATTACTTTTAAAAGGGGAAAGAAAGTTGATATGACAATTAATATTATAAAAATAGGAAAAATACACGTGACATTGTTTATTTAGAGAAATTTAAATTCGTAGAAATAAACTTTATTTTATTAATATTTATTTGTGGTGTCTCAAATTTATAATCCTCTTATACTTTAACTTTGATGGAGGGTTTCTAAATCTTCAAAATTGTTATTATTTTCTTATTAAATTAATAAAAATGTTCCATCATTTTAAAAATATTTCTAAATTTTTAAAAGTTTCAATAATTTTAAAAATAATTTTAAAATATTCTTATCGGGAAGAAATTTATTTCTTTAAATTTTTAAAAAGTTTAAAAATACTTCAAATTAGTATTATATTTAAAAAATATCTATAAAATTTTAAAATTAATATTATTTCATAAAACTAATACCATTTTATGCCCTCAGAGATGGTATATAAACTTAAAAAAAAAAAAAAAAATCTAAAAGTTTAAGAATATTTATTTTAATTTTAAAAGTTCATGGGGGACATTTTAACGCTAATGACTTCCTTCTTCTTAATTTTTTAACTCGTTTGAAAGTATTTTTTTAGTTTGGTATTATTTTTTAAATTTTTTAAAAAACTTTGAAAGTGTTTTTCGAACTTAAAAAAGTTGAAGGGTATTAATGAAAATTTTGAAAGTTTGAGGATATAGCTTCAAAGTTTAAACATATATTTTTTTTATATAAAATATAAAATATAAAATTTAAAATTTAAGAATATTTTTGTTAAAAGGGTTTTGATGATTTTTTATAGAGTTTGGATGGATTCATATTGGGCCCAATTTTTTATTTTTATGAATTTGGGCTTATGAGCTTAACACAAACCCTTTTGAATAGGCTTAAAATAGCAATAATTAGCAAAAGAAAAAAAAAATACTTTTTTTAACGAAACATTATCGATAAAAATATAAAAGAAAATTCTCTTTTGTTAAAAGATATTTTAAAATTATGAGAATAATATCGGTGAAATTATGAAGCATATCTTTATAATTAATTGACTTAATTTCTCATGAATTCGACCTAAATTATTGTCCGATTCCATTATCAATTTATCATAAAACATAGTTATTTGATGTATCAAATGATAAAGGAGTGACAAAATTTAATGGGTCTATTTTTAATTTAAATTTGAAAAAATGTGTAAGTTTATAATTGGTCTCAAATTATAAGATGATAGTTTATGATTAATAAAATATATATATATATATAGTTATGTCAAGTAAATAATAATAAGACATACATAGTAAACATTACCAAAAAAAGAATTTAAATCCCTTGCCTATGAGTGGCATTCACCAAAAAAGAAAAAACGTGCTTTAATCATCAAATGATTTTCTCTACGAAGTTAATAAGTTCAATCATCCACTGCTTAACTTCATCTCCGATCGATTAATCAAAGCCTGACGAAGGCCAAAACCCAGCGGCAACTGAAAAGCCTTCTCCAGACGCGTCGGCTCCGGTGGCGTTGCAAATGGAAACATCTCAAAATCGGCGGAATCGGCCATCGGAACGGCATTGGACAAATCGGAGATCGGAAGCAGACAGTTGGCGAGAAGCGCGGCACCGCCGGTAGCCGTGAAGAAACAGTAAGTATCCTCGGAGAAATGCCGCGGAGAAATAATGCTGTTAACGGCCTCGAGATCGATCTCAAAGAGTTCGTCGTCTTCTTCGATTTCCACCGGAACTCCGCTGGAGGCCATGGATGCCGATGGTCGGTGGTAAATACGGCGGAGCTTCAACCTTATTATATAGGGAATGGAGGAAGGAGTGAGGAGAAATCAGGTAAGTGGAACGGTCCTCAACAAATCCGCAACCACCAAGTTCAGGTGCGAAGTTGCTCCCCTAATCCCAATCTGACATTAATCACTCTTTTTCTTTATATTTTTTTCAAGAAAAAATTGTTTTAATCGTTATATATCAAAACCATATAACCTAAATTAGAAGGCCCTAAACTTTTATTTTTAATTAGTAAATTAGCACTAAATTGCTGGGATTAAACAATCACTTCAATTATTTAAATATTGAACTTTATTATCTAAAATTAATTTAGATGATTATTTATTTAAATTGCATAGTCTAAATTATTTGACAAAATATTAGAAGAAATAATTGTTATAAACACCCTTAGTTTCAAACTACAGATGGAAGAATTGTTAGTTCAGTGGTTTGATTTTGAGTCTTTGAGTGGGGGTTGGTGGTCGAATTTTGTCAAAGGGTAACATTTATAAAACAAAATTGCTTATTAAGAAGTAGTTTCCAAACAACCTATCCAAAAGTGAATCATCATCCACCCTAAATTATTATCAATTTTGGACATATAACAATTACATTACATGGTGTGATTCTACATTAATTGGTCAGAGAAACGAAACATTTCTTATAAGAGCGAGAAACGAAACCTTTAAAAACCTTGAGTGAAAGCCTAAAGAAGATGATATCGATCGACTAGTGATGGTTTTAATGCTGTTTCATAATATTGGTTAGTGGTGGACTTGATTTTGTTACAAATGGTATTCAAAGCTAAACTGATATACCGACAGAACACTAAACCCTCAAGGACTAAGTCCTTCAAGGGTGGAGGTGGATTATGAGATTCCACATTAGTTGAAGAGAAAAATAAAACATTCCTTAGAGCTCGAAACCACTTTGAAAAAGGAGAAGCAAAGAAAACAATATTGCTAGTAACCAAAAAAAAAAAAAGGATCAACACAAAATGCCTATCTTATCAAATGATAATACCACAGAAATGCATTAAGACTTATAATCTGCATTTTTAATATTAATAAACACTGTCCAAATAGATGATGAATTCACCTCTATCGAAACAAGTTTGCATCGCAGAAACACAGCAAGCAACAGCCTGAAGAATATAAGTTTCTGGCAACAATTGTTATGGCCTCAGGTAGGTAACAAGTTGAGGTGCTCACTAAGAGCTGAAATGTGGAACCCAAGTCTATGTGGGAAAACAATGAAGCTAAAGTGAATGTTTCCAAGGTAAACAAATATGGGGATTACAAAGCAGCAAAAAAAAAAAAAAAAAAAAAAAAAAAAAAAAAAAAAAAAAAAGAAGATAATCTAAATGATAAAACCAGCAGGGCACAGATCAACAATCAAAATGATTTCTTTATGAACTAGAAACAAGAAATCAATCTCATCCAAAACAACCTTCCACCTCCAGACATAAGCAACATGGTATTGGTAATGGATAACTATATCAGCTCAAGTTCACCGCTAACAGATATAGTTCTCTTTGGACTCTCTTTTGGGGTTCCCCTCAAGGTTTTAAAACGCATCCACTAGGGAGAGGCTTCCACACTTTATAAGGAATGCTTAGTTCCCCTATCTAATCAATGTGGGATCTCACAATCCACCCCTTGGAGGCCCGGCATCCTCGCTGGCACACCGTCCGGTGTCTGGCTCTTATACCATTTGTAACAGCTCAAGCTTACTGCTAGCAAATATTGTCTTCTTTGAGCTTTCCCTTCTAGGGTTATCCTCAAAGTTTTAAAAAACGTCCACTAGGGAGAGGTTTCTACACCCTTAAAAGAAATGCTTAGTTCTCCTTCCCAACCGATGTGGGATCTCACAGCAACCTAATCTATTTCTTCGATATGGATGCACAAGACAACCATAAACAACAGATTATGTCAATAAAAGAGCCTACTACCTCTGCTAGTTAACAGCAAGGGAATATTACACTTCGAGATCGGAGGTGTCGTAGTAGAGTTATACAAGGACATTGTAGACACAGCCCCTCAAAGAAAATACCATCAGAGAGGCCCTAGCCAAAGCATAGTTCAGTAGAGAACGCTAAAAGGCCAATGGAACATGCTACAATTTTGCCACATTGCCATCACTAAAACATTGAACATGATCCCGCTTATATACAATGCAGACGACAATTTACAGAATTTTGAGGTTTATGCCATGAGACTCGATTCTTCCACAGAAAAACAAGCCTAGAGATAAACTTCAAGTCTTTTAAAACAATGCATGAGGATGCTGTCTTACCAAGGCAAAATATGGTGCAAACAATGATCCAGAAGAAACAAGGGAAAGGGGAATTAAGGAGATAATAGAAACATCAAGATCAAATGCATATGCAACTAAACTTGTCTCCAAGACGATTGCTCATAAGGGCATTCCTATTTATTGAACATTCAGCCAGAGGGAATCATTAACCAAACACATCATATGCACACTTCACACTTAAAATGTAGAATTAGAACAATACGTCAGCTCAAAATAAACACAAAACTAGCTTATTTCTTACAAGATTAAGTGGAGAAAAACTGAACATTCAGAAGCACAAATAAGAAATTAAAAGAAATGGACTTCCCATTACTGCATCAAGTTTCCCTTCCCACCATCAATCATCAGACTTCACCTACTTTCACGTAATCAATATAGTAACAAAAAAATCAGTACTGAATGTTTTCTTCTTCTTCTTTTTCAGTAAGAAGCAAAGAATGTCAACGCTAATCACAAAGCTGAGGTTGCAGTATTAGAACTAAAATATAACTAACAGCGAAAAGAGAGTGAAAATCAAAAAACAAGCATATGCTATCAACCCACGGTGCTCATCCCCACCATCGGCAAGAGAAACCATGAGACTCGTACAGATCCTAGTTGCCCACAACACAAAAACTCCGGCGACTCCGAATCTCAATATACCGGCTTGCGGCAGGAACAGAGACACGGCCGAAAAAACCACAACAGGCAACATACAGTACCCAACTACGCTAGTACATGTGTGAAGGTTCAAATTACCATTTCGTCCAGCCAACATATTGAACACAACATACAGGAAGATGGAAGAAACCACGATCCATCCCAGTATCACGCCAAATTGGATCTTGCCGGCGAGCAACTGGAAGAGGCCGAAAAACATGTATAGGAGAATCGGTCCGGACAAATCCGAGTCCTTGTGCACATCGGGTTTGACCCGGAACGGATTCAAGATCGACTTGGTTTTCTTCCAGATTTGATCCGGGTGGATCCCGAGTTCATCGAGAAGGGGTTCTTCGTCTTCGAAATTAGCACCACCAGGGACAGACCCGCCACCGATAGGACCTCCATAGATACCGCCAGAGGACGTGGAAGCAGCGGCGGCGGATCCGATGTCGAAGGACATAAACGGAATGCTGGAGCCGGTCGACCGAGGAGGCTGAAATGGCGCCGTCGCCACACCCCGTTGGTGAAGATTGGGATTGCCGCCAGAGGGGAAAACCACCGGCGGTACAGCGAACTCCTTCTTCACCGTCCCCATGGATTACAGAAGAACAAAACCCTGAAATATGAATCTCAAATCGATTACGAGGAGAAGCGACTCAAAACCGAAGAACGATTTTGAGATTTAGGGATTCAACTCGATATCGAAAGCCCTACAGGGTAAAGGAAATGGGGAAAGATTAACAAGAATTCGATACACAAGAAAGTAAAAGGAAAAACATATTAAAGAATAAAAAGTTTATATAGTACAAAACAAGGAAGGGCATATCCGACTTTTCGTATTCCGTTCCGACTAGTTGATGTGAAAGTAGGGACGAGTGCAAGGCCAAACAGTTTTCGAAGTGTCTGAATGTGTATGTGAAATTACATTTTTCTCCCCATCCTTCTAGAAAATACGAGTTCGTATTTCTTTCTCCACAAGGATTGTTCATATTGGCGGTAATTATTATTATTATTTTTTACTATAATTAATATAAATATCCCCAAGGATACTTTCAAACGCCTAGTTATAATTTTGTTGTTGCAAAATCCATGGTAAAATATTAACCAATGCTAAGTTTTTATTAGAACTAGTGAAATCAAAGTTCACAATACACCAAAATTGAGAGCCCAAACTCAAGACAAGTCAAGATTCGATGTCCAGGCTAGGATTTGGTCGATAAGAGTTGGCCAAGCCCAATCATGTCTATTTTGTAGCTTAGATCTGCTTTTAGGCACAATCTTAAACTAGGTCACCCAATCTAACTAGACCAAATGAACTTACACGTATTATGTAAATTCTAGTGGTAACATATAAAAGGGAAAGAAATGTGCACCTTCACGATATGGTCACACAATCTTAATAGTTGCTCCACTTTTCATAGAGAACACCTTAATGGACTTAAGAATTAGAGCGTCATTAGCAACACATCTATATCTTTTTTTTATATGTCATTTTCATCCCGTTTGATTATATATATTAATTTTAGTTGTGCATATTGTCACAACCATGCTTGTCTAAAGGCGTAATCGATACCTATTAAACCAGAAATTTTAAATATTAATGGTTGTACTAAAAACAAATTGTAGTCATATAAACACGTAGATGAAAACACATATATATATATAAGTCTGAAAACTTCTGTAATTTGCTAATTAAGAAAAAGGTCGTTTGACTGATTATGTTCCCATATTGGGGTTAATTGAATAAATTGAAAGACAATGAGAAGGGAACTCTCCGACTCGGAAGCAATCCCGATTCAACTAGGCTTGCACGAGGTGGCGGGTGATCGGAAGAAAGGTGAATTCGAACTACGAGTTCAAAGGAAAGCGGTTGAGATTCCTCGTCAGATCCAGTTGCGAAGAACAAATTCATCTAATGCTGCGCTTTAGGTTTGGTTGATGAATCGAACCATGGAGGAGGAAGGTTCTTCGGTCTCCAAACAAGTGGAAGTGGCAGTCTGCATGGCCATGTCTCTGTTCTTCGTCGCCGTTGTCCATGCTCCTGCTTTGATACTTCCGTCTATCACCTCCTCCTTCTCTTCAAGTTTACACGATTCGACGATGTCTGTTCGCCATCATTTTCAGGGCCATCTCAGTCGTTGTCTGCGCTCTAATCCTTCCTGTAAGCCTCATTTACTTTTTTCCGGTCATTAATTTCTGAAAGGATGACTATATTGTTTGTATTTGAAATGCGTCTGCTCAGGAATCATCTCAACGTGGAATCACTTCTCCTTCTTCGAGTTTAACTGTTATTATTCGTTTATTTCTATCCGGAACAATCTTAAGAGAGAATAAACTATAAGGCTGTCTCGTTGTCAGGAAACGTGCGACTATGGTTCACCTAAGATAGAATGGTCAATCAATATCCTCGATAGACTGTTTAAGAATTATTTTATCATGTGAACTACAAGTAAACTAATCGGCATTTGTTAACATTATTATTTATGGTTTTAATTTGAAAAACGAAGTAGCTATTGATTTAGAAAACGAATTGTTCATCTATAACATGTAGTCAGGGGCTGTCAAGGTTGACTGATTAACGAATCTGTTGGATCCATTGTATCTAATAGACCTGGGAACAAGAACTCCACATATACACAAACATAATATCCTTTCTCAGTATTTAAGTGAACCAATTACTATAGAACATAAGATTAATCAATCTATCTATCTGGCAAATTAGAGATTTGAAATTGTTACTTTCTAATTACCATGCAAGGGACGCAACGTCTTGTTCGTAGTTCTATGAGTTTCAATTGTTCACAGGAATTTGTCACTCAGTGAAGCTTTATTAGTCTGATTATAAGTGCTTAGTCCGTAATTTACTCATTTGGTTGTGCTAGGTTTCCATCACAATGCTGACTTTCCCCATCTCATTTTGGTTCATGCTAAATAAGGAAAATGGAGTTTTCACTGTTATTAGCAGCTTGCGGTATCCGAGCAGATCATATTGTAAGTTCCAATATTTTCTCCTCCATTAAATAATACGCCATGGCATTAGCTAAGGTTTTCTTTGACATCTTATTCAATTTTATAATCTTGTAGCCTGCATATTGGAAAGGTGAAATGAATCCTAAACCTGCATCCTGAATTGCAATTTTATCTATGGAGTAGTGGCAAGCCGTGTTCTTTCCTCTTTCATTGACTTCTTTAATGTAGGTTGGATCAATGGTTTTAAAGTCTTTGTTATTGGTGGATTCATGGAGAGAGCATATGAATCACAGAGAAGGCTCCCTTTCGGACTGTGCTGAATTTTTTTGGACAAGAGTTCTTGATCGGGGACTATTAACAGTCTCAAATCTTTTAGCTTGGAGAAATTGTGTTGTGGTGAGTACTCCTACATTTTTTTCCATGCCATTTGGGTCCTCGTTGTTTCCTGTCTATTTAAGAGCAAAGAGATCACTTATAGTTAGCTTTATTGTAGGCTTCTTGTGATAACTAACAGCATGGTAGTATATATTCTTGAAATATGCTCTAGGCTTTACTAATTTGACAATTTTCTATGAGTAAGCTCCATGAGTTGGGTGGGAAAGAAAAATGTACGGCCTGGCTTTGCTCTAAATCTCACTTGCTTACATATTATATTCGAACTAGAAAATGTAACTTGATTTATGTGGTACCTGAATCCTTGTACTCAATCACTGAAGATTCACAATTCGGTTGGGAAGGCTTTCACTGACGTCCAATGTTCTGGATTCCACTCGGGAGTAGAAGATGCTGTTATTTTGAGTTTTTGAGTTGACCCATCTATAAAATTCAAATAGATGTCTTGTTTTCCTTGACACTAAGTAGCAAAGGTCATTAGATATTAATAAATAATACTTTAAGCTGTGTCAAATGAACCTTTTTTACTTGGATTTCTTGGTTGACATTTGCATCACACATTCTTGGACAGGCTCCACTAACTGAGGAGTTGGTGTTTAGAGCATGCATGATACCAGTTCTTCTATCTGGGGGGATTTAACCAACCACTGTGATATTTCTCTGCTCCATTCTTTTCAGTCTGGGTAAGTTTGACGCTTCATTGTTTTGGCAGATGAAACTGCTACGTGTATGAGTTTGTGCATGTAGCCTCATTTATTCATTTTGGGGCATGACTTTATGCTTCCCTGTACTATTTATTGTTTTTCTGGAATTCTTCATGTTTTCCCCTATTTATATGAAAAGGGGAAAACATTGCAAGGGTTTAAGCTTAAGTTTTTCCCTTATTAAATGACCATTAGACCTGTATGTTATAAGCCAATTGATTTGAGCTGATTTTCTCACCAAACCTATTTATAGATGCTAACGGGAAGGGTGATGTTTAACTGACTCCTAATGTAAGCAATTATTTGTATTAATGTTAAGAGTACAGGGTAGGACAATATCTTTTGGTGCTTTCCTTTTGAACTTTCGTTCCAAGAGTTCTGTAATGTATATCCTTCTTTGAGCATTTCCAATTGGAATGTTTTCTCGCGGTTGAATGGAAGTAGCTTCTGTCTAGTCCATAACCTTCAATGATATGTGTGTGTGTATGTATATTCCCCTTCCCGGAAAGGAAAAAATGACATCTAAGATAGTTTTTTGGACTTGGTTCACAAAGCCAGCTACTAATGTTTATGCATTTATAACCATTGCAACTGAGGGTGGATTTGTTGGAAATTGTATGTGTTTAGTATACCTTCTAGTTTAAGCATTTTAAAAAAAAATATATTTTCAACAGAAATGTTTTATGCCTTATTTTTTTTTTAAATGGCTTAAAAGTGATTACATTGACTATTAATATGTTTTGTTTTCATACTACATATTTTGAAGATTTTTAGTTGATGATTGTAAAATTATTTATGGATAATCCATTTCTCTGTTTCTTAAGAGTTTTTAAAATTAATCCATCTTTCTGAAGTGTTTTTATTTATTTATTAAGATAAGATTTTTAAAAAAGAACATTTTCGATCATGGAAAGGGAAACTAGACACTTTAATTATAGTTTTTTTAAATGTGCTTATAGAAAATTTTGATTATACTATACCAAACCCACTAGAAGCCTGTTATAAAGAAATATCACTAATGCCGGGATATTCCTTGCAGGCAATCTTCTTGACCCGTCAGTTGCTCATGTTTTTTGCAACCTTATGGGATTGCCTGCTTTTTTTTCTTTCTCAAAGAAGAGGTACGTTTTATATTTTTGTGATCTGAGTTCATCAATAACCCATGAATCATGATAATAAAAGAATCGAACTTATTCCCCTTGTCTCTTTGTACAGGAGAATATGTTCCAAATTTCTCATACTTATTACAATTCCATATGGCTACACTAATCTGTTCGCGACCTTGCTTTCTAAGAAGGTTCTCTCTGTGTTCATTGTCTAGATGCAAATAAGTGGTTGATATGGCGGTTAATGTCCGCCAAAAAGAATGTTGAAAGTTAAAACAATGATAGATCACTCTGTCTAGTACACAGGTCATTCTCATTTAGGATTGGATTTGAGTACATAAAGGAAGTTGAATTGTTATAGGTTCATTAATAAGAATTCTTAAACTTTTCTCCAAATTAAATTCCACATGCAGCAATGCACCTTGTGGAATCTAATAAGCTGAATTTAACCCTTTGTGCTAAATTTCTGTTTTGGACACTTCTTTTTTCTTTGTTCATTTCGGTTTATGAATTTAACTACGAGTTGAAGATATCTTTATCTAAACATCCAGAGGTGGTGAGCCTGGCATTTCTAGTTGGAAAGGCGGGGGGCTCCTATGGCCTGTTTTTCCCATGACAAGTCCACATTTGTTTAATGAGAGAACAAACAGTAGGTGTTGGCATGGATATTGCTCTTGGAACTAGACTAAAAAATCTTCCGAGAAAATAATCTTACTGTAGATTAGACAGAGAGTTAGGACGAAGAGAGAAAGAAAGAGAAAGAGAAAGAGAAAGAAGTAGAAGAAGAAGTGTTACTGTATCTACATTCTGCTGTATTGACCAATGTGCCAAGGCTGTTTATTGGGTATAAAACCTAAGAATATATCTTCTCTTGCTTGTGAGTTGTAATGGAACAAGAATTAGAAAATACAAGGAATTCAATGATTAAAAGACATTATTGATTGTTGTTTGAATGAAGGTGTTAGGCATCGAAGGATGTTGTTTTGGACCAAAGCAAGAAAATAGGTTTGCGTACTGAACCAGTTTCCATTCAGCTTCTGAAACCCTTCCACTCTTGTAGATATTGTAATGATGGCCCCAAATCCGTAGGGTACCCTGAAAATTGAGGATCTACCCCCATTAAGTTATCTACATCTTGTTTAAGTCGAACATCCTCCTTAACGTTGCAAGAATTTCCATTGAAATTTCATGGAAATAGTGAAGGAGAAAGCAAATATTTGTCATACCGTATTTTGATCTCATATCATGTTAGTAGTGGGAATTTGTTCGGAGTATAAGATATTCAAAGTTCTTTTTCATAGTTTATTTCTTCAAATGATCTTCTAGAATTACTTAAGTGGTTTCTTCATTTTGAAGATCGTGGGACTATAAATAGTGGTCGGATAAACTCGATCTTATCAAACTTGTACATACAGGTCTTTACAAGTTAGACTTTACTAGATTCTTACAGCATGTTCTTTTATTCAATCCAAACATTATTAGATAAAGTTAGACATTTTAGTATTGAACTTACTGAAATTGTGAGTCAAATACTGAATGGGGTTAAGTTAGAAATCTTGAGCATGGTCAGAAAATCAAAGAAACAAGCCAAGAGAAGAAGGAAAATCTGAGGAAAATGATGACTATCTATGATGGTTTAAATGGACCAATTTGCTTGTTTTCCATGAAGAAGGAAGAGAAATTCAAATGGGTCATCATTTCTTTGCCTTTCTTCTCAAATTTGATCTCAATGAGTTCTTGAAGCCTCAGAGGCAGGGCCTAGAACAAACCGCCTCAAGCTAGGCCTGTAATTCAATGGAGTTTTGGATTGGACATTGTTCTTTATGATATCTTTATCTATTATATATTTCTTCTTTTTCTTCATTTAAAAAAAAAAAAAAAAAACTAATAATAATGGTCAACCTGGCAACACAGAGCTACGTCATGTCCATGGGTTTCATATTTTATTGCCTTTTTTTATAGATTTTTTTCCAAAATTTAATGAACTCTTTCATTGACTTTTTCTTTTGATTTTTTTACTCTCTTTTTTGTGTGTCTGTGATGACGTTTACCTACTGATTAGATCCTCCCATCACTTTCTTCTCAGATGGAATCCGAATGAAAAGCCCCCTTTCTTTTCTTTCATTTATTTTGCATTTTTTTTTAAATTTATTGGGGAAAGTCATTAAATTGTGCACTAATTTTCAGTCTTCATTTTATAACTTTTGGTTTAATGTTGATGCAAAATGAAATATGAAAAAACAATATATTTTTAGTTCTTGAAATCTTTCTGTGTCAAGTTTTACTTTTAGAAACTTACTAAAACTATTTCTCGAAGTAAAAGTGTTGCGTTTGAAAATTTCAGGAGCATGAGGATGAAGCTTTTCCCGATCTCAAGAAACTCGATCAGAGGTAATTGGTTGAGATTTATCAATAAAGTGAAATTATATCAATATAATTGAGTTAGGTAAATAATTGAAGCTATTTTTTCTACCTCAAATAAGAATAAAGAAATATAAATCTTAATTTTAAACAAGTCTCTCTCTTTACCCAGCTCAACCCCCCTTCCATGCAAGATAACCACATGTCTCAAACCAATAAAAAGAAGAAATAAAAAACCATGACAATGAAACGTAAAATCAGAACTTAGGAAGGAAGATATGAACATGCATATAATTAATAAGCTTTTAAAAACATTCCCACATGGTTGTCTTCACTAGACAAAATTCATTTTTCTTTCAAATCTTTTAAATGATCTCGTTCCCTTTATTACCCAATTAAATAAAATTTTAAAAACAAAATAAAAGATAAGAGAAATACGTGCCCTGTTCATCTTTTTGGGAATCTTGGCTTTGAAACTTCCCAAAAACTACAAACAAAAATGATAATGAAGCCACTTGAAATTGGGGGCCTTACTGATTTTCTTTATTGCAAAGACATGATTTTTAATACTTGTCTCAAGTGTTAAAATTAAATGGACATGAACAAACCCATTATAGATAGTTTAAATTCAATCAAAATTAGATATGAGAGAGACAAAGAGAGAGATTAGTCTGAAAATGGTTTTCCATTAGATAGCCTGATACATCATTTTGAAGTACAGAAAATCCATATCCTAACCCCCAAAAAAGAAGATATGAAAAAAGAAATTTAAAAAAAAAAAAACTCATAGAGAGAGAAAGAAGATGCTAAAGCTACAGACTGTCCTACATAACTGAAAACCCAAACTACATGCTACTGTTGGCTATGGTAATTCACAAAAAATGAAAAAGAAAAAAAAAAAAGAGAGTAACTTTAGTGCGGTCATGGTATCATCATCATCATCTTCTTCTTCTTCTTCCATCGACGTGATCAGTTGGAAGAATTTGAAGGATTTGCAGAGGAGAGATTAAGATCAGGGATTGATTTTGAGGAATTGGCCTTTGAACTTCCTTTAGATAATTTCTGCTTCAGTTCCGAAAGCAGTGCTTGATTTTCTTGGTTCAAAAGTTGAGCTTTCTTCCTCAGTCTCTCATTTTCCTTCATTATGTAACAGTTCTGCAAGTACAGCTCTGAGTTTAGCCTCTCCATATCTTCAGATAATTTCACGACTCGATCAATTTGATTGATTATAGGTATAATATATCTATATATCAATCGATTCTTCTTCCAAATTCCAAAAACCCTTCTCCCTGAACAAAAAACAAGAGAACCCAATCATCAAAAAAATTCCAAAACGAAAAAGAAAAACAGAGAAGATTAGGAATCAGAAGCAAACAAGTTGGATACGAGTTGAAGGGTGAGATGGGTTTTGAATTAGATATTCAAAAAAAGGATGAGTTTGATTAATAGAGACTGATAAATCCAGCAGTGATTGAGAAGAAGAAGCTCTGGCCTTAGCCATATGTAATAATTAGAGTTGGAAGAGAAAGAGACAGAGAGCAGCAAAACCACACTCATTGTGAGAGAAAGAGACAGAAATGGGTTCTTCTTTGGGTTGCCCGAATATGAAAGAAAATGATAAATAAAGTAAGATTAAGCCACTTAGAAGCAGCTAAAACTAAAACACCATAAGAGGCTTCAAAATATAAAAGCTTTTCAACCATCCCCTGAACTGCAAGGAACAACACAGAAACAGAGGAAATCGGGACATTAATGCCTTCAAAAACACAAGAAGAAGAAGAAGAAGAAGAAGAAGAAATTAGAATTAAGAAGAACAAGAACAAAAAGAAGAAGAAAACAAAGGAAGTACCCCACAGCACAAGGCTATGTCGACCTTTCTTGGTGAAAGGGGAAGCAAGAAGAGAAGCAGAAGAAGAAACCAAACATTAATATAAAAAAAGAAAATGAATGTAGAGAGAGAGAGAGAGAGAAGAGAGAGAAAGTGGGTCTGCCGTGTTTTTTCTTTATCTTTTCAAAAAAGATCACCTTTTGAAGTTGGGCAGAGAGAAGTAAACAAAAACAATCTGGATTTCGTAACAGAAGCCAGAGGCAGAAGACGAAGGTGAGGAAGAAAGAAAGGCACAAAGGGAACAAGTGAGGGACAAATGAAACAAAGAGGCCGTTAATTTATAGAGTCATAGCCCAAGAGAGAGAGAAAAACTCGAAACAAAAAAATAAAAAATAAAAATAAAAATAAAAATAAATAAAAGACATTGAGACATGAGACATGCCCCTCCTCTTTCTGACACAACAATCATGTAAGTGTAAGCATGGAAGGCGGCCGGTTATAGCAAGAACCTCAAAATATATCATTTCTTTTTTTTTTTTTTTTTTTTTTTTTTTATAAATAAATATTTTAAAATAAAAAGAAAATATATTTAGGTTTGGTTTGTATAAGAACGATGAAGATGATTGGGAAATGGCATGATGGGTGGAGAGGGGTAAATAGGGGAATTAAAGAAGGGTATTTCGGTCATAAAATCCAACATTTATGGGGTTAAGAGAGGGACAATTATGGGACTTATGGCTAGGGCTTGTAAAATGATGGTGGGCTAAGGCCGTCCCAAGATTCGCAATGATGGGTTGGATTGGCTTCTAAACCATCATCACACCCCAACTATCTCAAAAACCCTTTTTTTCTTTCTCTTTTTGCCCCTCTTTTATAATCAATTATATATAATAATTAAATTAAAAGAAAAAAACTAAATTTTGTAGTTCCATTTCTAGCCCTCCTTTCATTTCTCTTTCACGTTTCTAATCTCTTTGTGTTGGTTACTATTGGTAATAATCATTTTTTCTTTCTCTTTTTTACCCTTTTTTTTTTATTACCACTTCTTTTTCCACATACAACTTTTCTTTACCCACTTATTTATTTTGGGCGGGGTTATACCTTACTTGCAATGTTGTATTTCCTCTTCTTTGAGCTCAACCACCAAAAATTTATATGATTTAGGGTTTGGATCCCAATTCGTGTTAGAAATTGGACCCTTTTCTTACCCAATCTCAAATAGAAAAAAAGATTGTTTTTTTTAGCCTTTTTACTTGTTGGGTGTTTGTATAATTTAATAGAGTTTTCAAGAATAGAAAAAAAAAGTATATTCTTTTTTACTTTAGTTGGGTAATTGAAAGAGACTAGAATCTATACACGTGATCTTTATTTTTCAAATGGGTAGAAAAAAATGTCGTTTTTTCTCTTGTAAGTATGGTTGTTCAAAGTAGTTCACCGTATATCGACTAATTAATTTATTGAGAGGATTATCTTATTAGTTTACGTACATATAACTATGTGGCTCTAGGGGGACCATTTTTAACTCCTAGAATTTGAACCCAAACCCATTGATGATGGTATTTTGTTTTACATTATTATAAACCATTATTACAAGGAAAGCAAGGATAATGAATGAAAGCAATGGACAAAAAAATGAAGGAAGAAGAAGAAGAAGAAGAAGAAGAAAGAATTGGTTTGAAATACAATTGGAAGAAGGAAAGAGAAGGGTAGGGGCCAGCCAGCCTCAAGCCCTCTCATGGGTTATGAGTATCTTAGTGTGAAACATCATGGGGTTTCACAGATGCTCTTTTGGAATGGCTCCATATGATTCAAGGGCATTTTCGTCTTTTCATCCCCCTCGTGGAGCTCGTTCTTCCTTCTATGTGTTGGCATCAATGCAATCATGGAGCTCAAAACAATTGGGTTAGTGTTGCTCAAATTACCTTATTGCCCCTTTAAAGCTTTTCCTCTTCCAAATTTTACCCTATTTGGCTTTTGAAGAGTTCAATTTGATCCTCTTTAACTCATTTTAATGATGAATGGTTATTGAGTGGTATGGTGGAAAGTACCCTCTTTTTCTTTTTTCTTTTTAATTCAACTAAAGGATAGTTTGCATGGTTCGGTGATCAATCTAGTTTCGTTAGGATATTCTTTTCTACCGCTTTTGAAATTGGTCCGACTATTCACTCATTTTTTCTATAAAAAATTACTTTTTTGAGATAAAATAACGATACTTCATATAAGAATCTGGATGAGTCAAAATAAGTGAAGTTTTACCATTTTAGGAATTAATTGATGCTATCAAGTTTTAAGTAGGCGACTATTACAATTTCTTTATTTATTCAATTGTCAACGACACTGGCTAATCCATGATATTTGTTACCTCGAAGTCTTATTTTATCCGACAAGAAAAGGTCATACAAGATTCTTTTTTTTTTTTTTTTTTTTTTTTTTTTTTTTTTTTTTTTTTTTTTTTTTTTTTTTTTTTTTTTTTTTTTTTTTTTTTTTTTTTGTGTGTGTGTGTGACACAAAAAGAGTTTCTTACTGATTGATGTGGGTAATATAAGTCAAAAGTGATACTCTTTTAGTCAAATATTTGTTCACCGTTTTAATTGAAAAAAGAAAAAAAAAAATGAAGATCTCTATAATAATTATTTTAAATTTCAGAAACATAAATAGAGAAAATGGCAAAATCAGAAATTAGTGGGGAAAACGTGGCCTATGTTTCTTAATAAACTCAAAAAAGAAATTTGCATTTATTTAAAGACTTGGCTTAGAAGATGACAAGTTTGAAATCATAATCCTTTATTTTGTCAGTTATTTTTATATTTTATAATCATTGGATTTTCTGTTTATAGAGAGAGAACCACACACACATGCATTAAATATTAATATAATAATTTTTATTATATATATATATATATATATTATATTTGTAATTGCACTTTTTTTAACGTTTTTTAAATTTAGTTCTTTACTTTATGAAATTACTAAATAAATGATTTTCTTTAAAATAAAACACACATTAGCCACATGCTTATTTTCTTTTGAGGATGTTTTAGAGATTTTCCCTTATTTTTTTAATTAAAAAATTAAATGGAAATATGTAATTTTCAATTGAAATATATAATATTTAGTCAATATTTTAGTTTGAAAAAATCAATTAAGCCTTTCTTATCAATGGTGAAGACTTCCCATTTATAGATAAATGACAAGATGGGGAAGTAAAACAGTAATTTTCCCCTTGGAAATTGGTAAAAAAACAAAAGTAATTGTAATTTTTGAGAGGTAAAAGTTGGAGGGTCCTTAAAACCCATGTCTTAAAAATCCAATTCATCAAAAGCTATGATAGGGGCTGCAAAGAAGAGGGAGGGTCTGCAAAAGAAGTAAATTTGGAGGCTAATAGCCTCAATGAATCTAAAGGGTTATAAATTGGGTCTGCAACAAACCAATCATGACATGCCCTAAAAATAAAGGGTCTCTTCCCCCTTCACCAATTTGCAATCCTTACCCTCCCCTTCCTTTAGAGCCATCCCCCTCTTAAATAACCTCTCGTCCCAACTTCCCGATCCTTAAATCTCGACAAGATTCAAATCATTGATCTCTTGATAGAACTTATATGTCTTAACTAGTTATACTATGCTCACATTCACCCTTACTCCAAACCCATTAGACAAATCTTACCACATACTTGAATTAAGAACCTCGTTGACCAAATCCACTAGTTAAAAGTCATGAAATAAGGTAAATTCAATTAAGTTTGACATCTTATCGATAAAGTTGTAATATAAAACACAACACTCAACATATAGACAGTGTTTGAAATGAGAAAAAGTAATGTTATTGCATATGTTTGAGTTTACGAGAACTCTTACTTTCCTAACGTGTTAGACGATTGATTACTATTAAACATGTAGTCTCATGTCAATGCACAAATAATTGTTGAATCCAATAACGAAACAACAATTCGGATCAAAATTTGATATGAATTATGCTTACATATCAGTATTGTAAACAATCGAATCACGATTTAATCGATTAAACCACGAAAAAGATGAATCGAGCATGGTCATAAATGGGAAAGAAGGGCATTGATGAACACTTACACTACCCATCATCATCATCATGTGCAATTGTTACATTTTGGCCTATAATTACAATTATGGAACCAGAGTCCCCAACTGGCTAGTTTTAGCCCTAATTGGTCCCTTTATATCTCTATCTCTCTGTCTCTCTCTTGCTCATTCAATCCAAACAACTCATATAGAGAGGAATGATTATGTGACCAAAGAGAGAAGAGTGAGTTACAAAGTTGACCAATTGATTTGGATTGGACAGCATTGATGTAAAGACATGTGAAAATCTTTCTTTTCTTTTTTTAATCCTTACTTTCTTATTTTTCTTTTTACCCCAAATCCTAATCTTTTTAATGTTCCATAAACTTTCACTCTAAAAACTCTTCAAATTTTATTTGTCTAACCAAAAGAAGCAAACAAGAGACCTCGCCTTTTCGGTTGATCTAAGCTTGAAAAAGCACCGACCAATTTCAGTATTGAAAATTTAAGGTAAGATCTTATAAAAATTCTATTATTTTAATAAAAATTTAATCATAAATTTATTAGATACAAAATTGAAACGTCGCAAATTAATCAAATATTATTAGATTTTTTTAGATACAAATTTGACCTTTTATAGATTAAACGAAAGGTTAAATTTAACTCAATCAATTAATAAAATTTAAAAGGAAAAATATGAAAATCCAAAGATTAGTATAATTAAGCTTTAACCAATCCCTACAATTATTTGGGGTTAAAAAATGAAAGGAGATGGAATTACTGAAATGGGGCGGAAGGGGGAAGGGGATGAAAGGGGGAAGGAAGGGTAAATAAGGGAATGGGAAGATAGAGAGGGGGGGAGTTTAATGGGCCACCAAGCTTTTTCTGAGGTCATTTATAATGATTTCACATAATAACAAAGCCCTGCATGGCTAATGATGTTTTCTTTTTACATTATTACAGCTTAGTAAGTGCATTGAACCCTACACGTGAGCTACCCCCCTTTCTTTTCTTTTCTTTTCTAAAACTTATTATTGGGGGACCACACGTGTGAATAGTTCTGTTGTAAAACCACCTTTTACTTTCACACGTACCACTTTTCTTTTCTTTTCTTTTCTTATTATTTATTTTCCTCCAATACCCAATATAAAATTATATGGTATTTGTTCAAGTTTAATATAATTTAAAATCGGTCCTAATTAGCATATGACATGGGTAAAGAAAAGATGTGAAAAGAAAACATACGAAAATAATTAAATTTTCTTTTTGGCTTTATTTGTGCAGTTTCAGAAAAGGAAAAAAAAAAAAAAAAAAGTGACACAAAATTTCCAAATGATTTAAACTCAACCTAAGCGAATCTAAAGTCTTCTCAAGACTAAGTGGGATTTCCTTTCTAAGTGGTTTGACAACTTTTATGATGTTCAATCCACTAAGTTTAGTTTGTCATTAGATTCTGCTCTTTAAAAGAATCAAAGCAGCTAATTCCCATTTCCATCCAAATCTAATTTGTTATTATGATCCATCATCAACCTAAAAAAGAAAAGAAATTTCACGACAGCGAAACACCACTTCTTAGGGATTGGGCTTGGGGTAACTCTAAATCAAGAAGTCAAATCTATCATAGATACCATTTGATATTACTCAATCTGATTGTCAAATAAAGCTCAGAGGATTTTGAATTATTAGTGGATGGTCTCTATGGTTTGAACTAATTCCTTCTAAGCCTATGGGACCCGAGGACCACTATGCTAATCCAGGGTGTTCATAAATCCATAGATCCATCAAATATAAATCCGACCTTACATTTCATACAATGTATCTATCAAAGGAAGGATAACAATTCAAAGTTTCGGCTTCCTAAAACATCAGATCAAACATCTCTTTTATAGTTCTCCTCTAATAGCTGCAAGAGCAAGGAAGTTTCCAAATGCCATCTAGATGAGATCAAGGTGGGGCATAATGAAGAGATGGAAGTCAAAATCAAACCCTTTTTCCTTTTGCTTTATAGCACTTTTCTTTATCAATAGTTGAACCCGTTGATGGCTTCACTTTTCTGGTGTTTCAATCACCCTGTTTAGATTTTGCAAATATCAAACAGGCACTGTTGAATATTTATACTGATTGCTAAAGAATAAAATCCAACATCTTTTACCCAAGAGATCTATTTAGGAGAGAGTTCCTCATAACGTTCCAACTAATCAGCAACTAAGATGATACTTCTGTTTGATTCTCTCACATTCTCATTGTCTTTTTGGAGGGGAATTTTTTTCTTAGATCAAAGATGGGGAGGTGGGTCGAGAATGACTTGTTATACAAACTGAATCTTCCCCATTTTCTAAGGTCTAATTAATTATCCTATATCTTTTGACTAGGACAAATTATTCAAAGAGTCCGCTTATTGTAACTGCTGGATGTGGATATCTACATGCTCCTATTGGATATAAATTCGAAGTACTTCTCTCTCATACATCCAGCCTTGAAAAACACAGTCATATTGTAGTGACTTCAGTGAATAATTTCTCATCTACTACTAGGGGATCTACTACTACTACTACTGGGCTAGATGACACCAAAATGTTATCATCTTGAGTGACTCAACCCTCTTCATCTCTTAATCTCCCTGACCATGACACTATAATATAATATCTTCTAATTTGTTGCACCCATTCCCAACTAGTAAACTTCTAGCCAGCATCAAAAGCCTCCTCATAAGGTGATACTATAATATCGAGAGCTTTACAAAAGATGTATGATTAAGGAAAAGCAAAAGGCATTTACTTTATCCAGTGACTAATAAGGCCAATAAATCTCTTTATCCAGTACAAATGAGGGGCCACCATTCTTTGTTCACATTCATTTTATAAGTGGTCACAATTAATCAAAGAATTTAATAGGAGAGTAGTTAACATCAGAGACACAGTTTCAGAAACAAGAAAATGACATCAGTTTACTAAAGAAACATCCTTATGAATACAATAGAATATTGCTTATATTTTAGGAGGCATAAAAAAGTGGCAAAGAGGATATCAATGATTGGCCATGGAAATATAATTGCAAGCTATTGATCAGTGGCATATTGACAGGCAAAGTGAAAATAATTGTGTTTGTTAACAAGATTCCACCTGGCAAAAATGGGAATCTCATTTGGCTTGTGAATGGGGGCCGCAATCTTGTCGATGAGATGATCTGTGATTACAGCTTTCTCGACTTCATATGTCAGGAATTTCAACTGTGACTTCTTCTTTTACAGCCATAATCATTGTCCTATGTAGCCAAAGGCAAGCCATATTTGAATGTACCTATAACACAAGTGACGAGGGGAATAATTAAACCCACCAAAGAACATGTACATAGGGGTGGGGTGGGGAATGGGGGATATGTAGGAGTGCATAATGTCAAAGCTAAATTTTTCAAGTTCTGTTCTCACAATACAATACAAAAGAAGGTACTTTACAAGTCCAAAAGACCAATTTTGATATTTTGGCTATATGCAACTTTTTCAACAACAAAAGGAAATGTATTCCTCACATCATTAAACATGTTACAGAACAGAAAATGAATTATTGCTGCTGCCTCGTATTGATTATGATTGAAAAAATGAAGTCATGAACATAATTTTCTAACCATGGGGAAAACAACTTTAAATAACGGATAATCGGTGGCATTCCTATTTCTAAAGGCTAAACAAGAAACTGATAATCAAGACAAGAGCCAAACAATACCATAACTTGTAAGAATACAATCGCAAGTAGTTCCCCTTGGCCCTTACGGTATTCAGGAAAATCATCTCATACCAAAAGACTAAAGTGTTCTATTATATTTGAATAAAATTGACTCTTGAAAATTGAAAATCCAAGTTTCAACGATGTAGCAAATTTACACAGATAACCTATTTTAAGTTGTATACAGTGTAGGACAATATGATCTAATATCTTCTTTTCATGTTATCTTGAACCATGTTAATAGTAACAAATAAAGATATTGACACGCACCCAACTAAAAGAACTTCAAGAAAAGAAAGGTCAATATCCAAACTCTTTCTTTAAAGCATGCAATCCCATGTTGCACAGCATCTTCAAATAGTACATTATCCAGAGGAAATATAAAGAGAGGAGAAAAAATAGTCCCTACATTCAAATCTAATTCCAAATGTGAGATTTCACAAACTCAGTTTTTCAAGTGCTTCTCTATTGTTTTACCCTCATACCATTTGATACATTTAATTTTTCCATTGTCTTATTACAGGATAGTACAAGCTTCCTTCCCTAATTCGGAAGCACTCACAGATAAAACTGAAATTGCTGAAAGAAATCAAAACGTTAGCACTACAAGCATTTGAGAACATTCTCAAAATTACTATCTTCCAATCAAGTACAAACTCAACTATCTCTATTATCAAATGCATTCAGATAAATTGGGCCCATAAAAACAATCCTAAGGAAAAATGCAAGAATAAGCCCAAAATATTGGGCATTTGGACACACAATGAACCAAAGGGATCCCTGTAGCCAGAGAATTCTCAACAATAACAATAGAGCACAGTACTTTGCCTCTTCTTGTCCAAGAACATTGAAATTGCCTCTAACCGAACCATGAAGGTCCCTAATCAACAATCTCAGATAGGAAACATGAAGATTTTATGCTATAAGATGCAACCTTCTTCTACCATTCATTCACAAAAATTCGATTAATCCTGAACTCAAATCCGGAGAATCACATTCACATGAACAAACTAATGAAATGACATTCAATACGCAACGCAACCGTACACAAATGCGATCAATAAAAACGAAGTTTAAGGAGACCGAGAGAATGGAAAAACACTTACAGTTTACTCGTCGCTCCTTTCCAAGAAATTACGATAAAGAAAGTGACGAAGCTGAACGGGAGAAAGCCCTAGAACTCGACCTTCATTGCACTGAAGGAGCCGAAACCAAATGACGTTGAAATCGAAAGTCGTCGGAATTCGAATTCTAGCACCAGTCTCCGCTGCCGCCCATTCCCTTTCTCCCTACCCGCCATATTCGGCGCCAATCAAAGCGGTGCGTTTCGAATAAAGGCATAATGCATTTACATATTATGACGCAAAATACATTCATAAATCATTTATTTATTAATTTTTCAATAATATTGTGTTTGTTTAGCCTCGTTAATGGGCTTGAAGCCTAAAGGCGGCCCAAGCCTGGTCCATGTTTGATCCAAGCTCGGCCCAAATATATGGATCACCACTTTAAATTTTGGGTCATATTTAGATCGGTCAATCGGGTCGATCCAATAAACTTACCACCGGGTCAACCCAAATAGGCATAGTTTTGCATATATTATATTTTTATAAATTTAAAAAATAAACTTTTTAATGTTTTTTAAATATATTTTTGTAATTTAATTGTGATAGTTCTTAGTTATATAAAACATTTAAATTGTAAAAAAAAGGGAAAAAAAGAAGAAGAAGAAGAAGAAGAAGGAATCTTTAGAACGATGACCGACACAAAGGAAGGCTTAAACGCCACAACTTTGAGGCTTAATATTTAAACATGGCGTATGGGCAAAAGGTTGATGAATATGGAGTGGTTGACGTAGGAAGGTGAAGGGCGGGTGAGTGTATCATGAGTGGATTGCTCTCCTATATAAGCCATTAAGAGTACAGTCTCGAACACTTACCATTTCCAAAACTCCGTCAAACGTTTGGCCAAAAAGAGAGAGAAAAAAACACTTCAAAGAGATTCCAATTCCACTTCTAAGCTCCTTTAATGGACTCCAAAAGTCTTCTCTGTTTCTCTATCCTCTGTTTCTCGCTCCTCCCAGGTTCGTTCCCCTCTTCCCACTTTCTCTCTCTCTAATCATTTTTTTGGGGTTTTTTTTTTAAATTTAATTTTGGCTGCAGAATTATCTGGGGTGGTTCGGGTTTCCGCTGGTCGAGGTAGCCACCGTCATCGCCACCGCGAACGGCGGAGTAGCCAGAGTCTTGGAGGAGGGGAGCTATGGAATTCGAATCCTAGAAAGCTATTTGTGTTTGGGGATTCTTACGTGGACACCGGGAACAACCGGAAACCGGCGGCGAAATCTTGGCAGTATCCTTATGGAGTTACTTTTCCCGGCAAACCCACCGGACGTTTCTCCGATGGCCGTGTTTTGACTGATTACCTAGGTAACACTGAAATATTTACCGTCTGATTTCTCTCCTTATTTTATTTATTTATTATTGTTATTCTTTTTACTCTGAATTATTGTTTCAACGCGTCACCTTTGCTTGTAGTTTTTAGTTTTAAACAGTTTTTTTTTTTTTTTTTTTTTTTTTTACTTTTTTAATTTCGTAATATGTCATCAAAATATTATGGTATTTAATCTTTTTTCACATGCATATTTTAAAATTCTCACTCTATTGATACTTATTTTTTTAAAATTTTATTAACTAATGTTTTTTTAAAATAAAATAATTAAGAAATATTGGGTTATTTTTCAAATATTATTGGAATCTTATATTTATATAGTCAATTTTAAAAGTTTGCCTATAAACCCATTCCAAATAAAGAATGTGGTAAATAAATACATTTATTACTTTTAAAAAGGATAAATGAGAAAGAAAATAATAATACAATTTTTAATTTAATTAAGAAGATAGAAAGCAAGTATGCAGAGGCCATTATCAAATGGATCTAAAAACCATAGTAAAGTAGTGAATAAGCATATTTGCATTTAAAAACAAAAAGAATTAAAATATTATTGAAAGGAAAGCATTGTATGATTAAAGGTAAGTTTTAATATATATATATATATATATATATATATATATAAATAATATTCCAAAGGCTTGAAAAATCAATAAAGATAAATGTGCTTTATTTTTAAGTCTACAGATCTATAGCTTTAGTTTTATGGACACAAAGTGACCCACAAAGACATTCAGATTTGCTTTAAGAAATAAAATTTAAATAATAATAATAATAATAATAATAAATCGATGGAGGTGGTGGGCTCCCTCCTTCCCATTATATATGTTTTTTTTTTTTTTTTCGAATTTCTCTAATTTCAGAATATTTCCGTTAGTAAAGTAACCCTTTTTTAAAATTTTAATTATTTAGTGAATTTCTTTGTTTTTTTTTATTTTATTACTTTTTTATAAATATTTTAAATTTTAGAAAAATTTGAGCTTTTTATTTTTAATTCAAATTTTGGAAATGAGAATTGCCAAGTCAGAGTGTGGCACTTTTTGGCTGTAAAAATCGAGAAAGAATGCATTATTGAGTCAGCTTTTTCTTTTTTTCTTTTTTTTTTCTTTGATTTAATTGGTATAGGAATGGCTGTGTCTTTTCAACATGTGAGTTTAGCATTCCCCTTTTCTTTTTCCCTGACAGACAGTCTCACTTTCTTATACGATTTAAAATTTCTAGACACAAATTTCAATTTCACCAAAGTTCTTTCATTATCATATCATCATCTTCTTCCCTTTGTCGTCTTTTCCTTTTTATCATTCTTTAATTTTATCTCTTTTTAGAATTTATATAATAATTTTTGTATACTTTGACTATATTCTAGATATTTTTTCGGTGTTGATTCAAAATTTAAAAAATGAGTTGAATTAAAAAAAAAAATTAATTAATTTAAATTTAATTAATTGACATTATTATTATTTTTTATTTTGGGTGTAATAAAATTACAAATTTTTATATATAAGATAAGAAAATATAATTTTTGACTTAAAAAAAGAGTAAATATAGAGTTTAATCGGCTCCATTTGGCGGCGCTATTGGCTCACTGAATCTTCTCTGTGAAAAATGCAGCGAAGTATCTGAAGGTGAAGTCTCCGATACCGTACAAATGGCGGAAAGTTGGGTATGGACAGTTGAAATACGGGATGAACTTCGCGTACGGCGGGACCGGCGTGTTCAATACGTTTGTAATGAGCCCTAACATGAGCACTCAGATCGACTTCTTCCAGCAGCTAATCGGCGAGTTGACGTTCACCAGCCAAGATTTGCAGTCCTCTGTGGCGCTAGTCTCCCTTGCAGGCAACGATTATAGCGTCTACCAAGCCACTGATGGCTCTGCGCAGGTTTCCCCCCAAACTTAGCTTCTTAATCTATAAGCCCTAATTTGAACTGCCCTGTTTTTCATTCTAAAAATTATTTGTTAAGATTTTCTATTATTACTTATCATTGCATTTTTAATTTTGTTGTATATATGTTGATTTGTTAGATTAATATTGTCGAGCCAATTTGATCCGATGAATCTGAAAATATTGAAAAAATAGAAATCAGATTCCATATGAAATAAGTTCAAGTTCAAGTTTGTAAGGTTAAGTCTAATGGATTTATATACTTTAAAATATGTTTGATATGTTCTTAAATTTCTTACTCTCTGTCAAATGGATTCATGAACTAAAAGAAGGGTATAATTTACATAACCTTTCAATTTTTGAAAAATTAGTAACTTTATGAGAATAATTATGAAATTTATCAAAATAAGATTTAAGCTCAAACAATTCCTTGTTTGCTTAACGAACAAATTATGCTTTAAAAATTATAACTTATTTACATGTAAGTAATTAAGATATCTTTACTTGTCTCAAGGAGTTATAAATTTGAAACACTACTGGGTATCTGTGAAAAAAAAAATAATTAACGTGATGATTTGCAAATTTAATGATGAATAGCCATATAAACAAGTTGATTTAAACTTTGGGATGTTGATGGCAGGGTTGGCAGCCATTTATAACTAAAGTGGTGAACCAGCTAGAGGTGAACCTGAGGCGCATCCATGGGGTGGGGGTCCCAAAGATAGTGGTGACGGCTCTTGAGCCACTGGGCTGCCTTCCTAGCAGCACAGTCGCTTCCTCCTTCCAACAGTGTAATGCAACTGAGAATCAGCTCGTCAACTTCCATAATATGCTATTGCAGCAATCTGTGGCAAAACTCAACAGTGAAGTCAAAGATGCTTCTGCTTCCACTTTCATCCTTCTTGATCTTTATTCCTCTTTCATGGCTGCTCTCAACAACAAAGGAGACCATCTTGGTGACTCTCTCTCTCTCTCTTTTTCAATCTTCTTTAGAACACTAAATCTCAAATGCTTCGCAAAACATCCATCCGTAGTCCCATTGATTAATGAAAAATTGCATGAGGGTTGCTCTTCCTCGACGAAACACTCCCAGTTTATGCCGATAGTCGACACGGAATAGGTTGATGTTTAGCTTAATAGAGACTGTAGTTGTGTTCTTAGCACAGTAGACAAAGTGCCGAGTGTAGATTTGATTGTTGTTCAGCTCCTAGAACAAAAAGAGCCATTGAATTGGCTGCAACCTCCGTTGAGGATTGTTTGGAGGGAGTCCCACATTGGTTTTAAGAGGATGATCATGGATTTATAAGTTAGGAATACATCTCCATTGTATGATGCCTTTTGGGGAAATCAAAAGCAAAGCCATAAGAACTCAGGCTCAAAGTGGACAATATCATACCATCGTGGAGAGTCATGGTTTCTTATAACCGCCCGTACTTTTATAGTGATGCAAATTTTAACAAGTATTTTAGGTTATGTTTCAACATTCATCTCAAACTCACCTTACGTTTAGGAATTCAACATATACGAACTTTCCATATTCTTTTAGAAGTGAATGATTTGGTATCTATCTATTCGATGTGTCACAACGAATGACCCGAGGAAGTAACGATGCATTTGAAAACTTTTTGTGCAGGAAATGTGAAGTTTGAGAATCCATTGAAGCCATGTTGCGTGGGAGTAAGCAGCGAGTATTCATGTGGGAGTATGGGTTCGAATGGGGAGAAGAAGTACACGATTTGTGAAGATCCAGGAGCTGCATTCTTCTGGGACGAAGTGCATCCTACTCAGCATGGCTGGTTCGCTGTGTACTCTGCATTGCAAGCCAATCTAAAACAGTTTTAAGAGATCAGATAAGTTTACCTCCCAATTTGACAAGACATTTCATTCATTCAATGAACATCTATCATGTAATTTTTCAAATAATATTTGGCATAGTCTCTTTGCCTGTGTTCTCTGATTTGCTTGTATGTACTCTGTTCCACCTTTCTCCGTGTGTGTTGATGTAAGTCTCCATCATCTTCTTCAAGTTCATAGCTAATTTTTGTATTTTCAAACCTTTTCATAGTTTCAGATTGAAGGCTCTCTCGTTTTCAGCTAATTTAGGATTGGTTTGAATTGACTTTCCAAGTGATTAAGAACGTGTTTTTAAGCACTTAGACGTCAACCCAAACTGCCCCGACTCTTTCCCTCTTCTTTTGGGTTTGATGTCGAGATCATAAACGGATTGAATGCAATATATTTCGGCGAATGAAAAGGCCAAGGTTAGCAGGTTCTTTTGGGTTATAGATGGGACATTGATGGTTGTTCAAAGTTCCATGAATGAAAGAAGCGATTAAGATTCAAACTTTGATTCTCTACGTTTTTATCGTAACAAATGAGAGACCCAATTCTCTTTAAGTTGTGTAATATATTGATATACTGTACCTTTAGTGAGATATTAGAGATCACTCACCACTGACTATCTAACTAAACACGATGGAAGTAGTTACTTCCCCTCTATGGTAGAGAATAGGAGTCATTATCGCTATGGCTTATTCAGTAGTCATTGCTTGTGCAAGACTGTCTCTATGAACATGTGAATAGTAAAGAATAAGAGTCATTATCACTATGGCTTGTTCAGTAGTCATTGCTTGTGCAAGAATGTCTCCATAAACATGTGAATCGATCGCCATACATAGAGACAACAAGCAAAAATAAACTATAACATTGTCCCAACAACAAGTATTCTGACTATGGTTAACATTATCTTTTTTCTAAAAATGTTAAATTAATAAAAATATTTTTAAAAATTGTATTTTTACTAAAATATTTTAAAATTTAAGTTTAATAATATTCTAATATATATATATATATATATATATATATTTTTTTTTTTTTTATGAAGATTTTTTTTTTAATTTTAATTTTTAAAGTTAACCATAGGACTATTCGTACAATTTTCGAAAGTACAATTATTAAATTTAAATATTTAAAAGGACATCACTAATATTCAACCTCGGGATAAAATGGTATTTTAACTAAAACAATAACGATAATTAAAAAACTCAAAACTGTGCGTTTTGGCTTCGAAAGTCTCGTGAAAACAGAAGTCCCGTACAGTCTTAAAGATGGTAGACTGATTATTAGGGTTCGAATCTCCGTAAATGTATAGTCCTTGATAAATCAAACTGGAAGCCGACTAGGGTTCGAACCTCCTGAAGCTAACAAAAATTGGAATTTACGAAGCATTGCGAAGGAAGGAGAGTGGCAATGGAAGAGCTTCCACATCAAGCAGAAGCATCCATGGGCACTAGCTGCAAGAAGGGGAAGAAGAAATCAGTGAGTCTGGAGGAACCGCTGAAAAGAGCTAAGAAGAAAGCCGGGGCTACTTCAGTCAACGAAGTGCAGCCTACAGGTCGTTTAGATGACTTCCGGGTGAAGGTTTCAGAGTTTGATCATTGTGTTGAAAATCATTTTAGAGCCATTGATGCAATTGCCGAGCTCTATGGCGAGGCAGAAAATGGCGAAGGCGGAGTTGATGAAAGTGACTTTCAGCGGTTTTCGTCCTCCACAACTTTCTTAAGGTACACATGGTTGCATGTTTTCCGGTAGATACAACAAATACATGTTTCCTGTAGCTTACGGATCGTCGCATTGCTTACACCGATTAGTTCTGGAATGCTTGTTAAATGCTGAAGATCTTGAAGTTCGTGCAAGGCATGCAATGTATTGAATATCGTGTAACTTCTTACGATTTTTGTTCTTGCACAATTTCTCGGAAGACGATGACGTGAACTTCTTCCTGCATTATCTGTCACTGCTGGGAATCTCCAACTTAATTTTTTTCGAATTATACTTCACCAGGGAATGGAAGTTCTACAATTATGAGCCGAAAACCGTCAAGTTTACAAGCGATTCGAGAGTTCCTGAGGGTAAGGATGCTGATATCACGATGGAATTGCCACAGTTTTCTTCTGCGGCTGTTCTAAAGGTGCTGGGTTGACTGCCATGTTAAACTTGTTGGCGTTTTCTTTCTAATTTTATCCCATCAACCACACCCATACTCGCGCGCGCGCGCACACACTGTTTTCTTCTATTTAGGTGACGAGCTGAAACTGTTATGCAGCATTAAGAATTAACATAAGTCATAATTTAACACGCAGAATGGAGCACCACCCGGAGCCACTACATCTCTGGACTTTAGGTAAGGAATAAGCAAACTCTGTATGAGTGTCAAGGTCGTCCAGTTTAACACTTGGGCAAAGGAGGCATAATGAGCTGCCTCTTAAGATATTTTAGGAATTTGTATGTCGCATCTAATGCGAAAGCCTGCATACATGGAAATTTGTTATTTGGCTCTTGCCAGTTATTATCTTAACCTCTAGAAACCAATGATGTGATTAAAATACGTAATGTTGCTTATGGTACCACTTTGATTTTTGATTGCTTCTGCTGCTGGTTATTGTAGTTTTCGTTGGTGGGCTAGTGTTGTCAGTTGGGCATGAATTGAAGTTACTTTTTTGATGTCTGGTCACTGGTGTGTAATTCTTTCCTCCGCAGTTGATATGTACATTCAATCAATCATTTTTATTGATTTTTTTGCCAGAAACTTTATCATGCATGTTGGTGGGCCTGTTTGGGCCATAGATTGGTGTCCTCTAGTTCATGAAAGGACCGACTCCCTTATCAAATGTGAGGTATCCCTCCTCTTCTATCGGTCTTTTTCAAAAGCAAAACTGTTATGGACGCATTAAAATTTAAGTGTAAAATTTTGTTTTATTCATCTTCACCTATGACTTTCATTTTCATTCACTTAGTTAGGCATTGCTTTCTTTTTGTTCACACTTTCTCTTTATTTATAAGTTCTCATTCATATTTATAACAATATTTATCTCAACTCGTATGGTAGTTTATTGCTGTTTCTGCTCATCCACCTGGCTCTTCTTATCACACGATGGGCATCCCGCTCAGTGGAAGAGGTATGGTGCAGATATGGTGCTTAGTGCATGGCACCGAAAGCCATGAATCAGAAACGACCAATGCAACAGAGTGCAAGGCTTCAGACTTATCTCAACCAAAGAGGCCTAGAGGAAGACCCCCAGGGCGCAAGAAAAATGGGGCGTCTGCCTTATCATCTCAACAAAAGAGACCTAGAGGAAGGCCTAAAAAGAAACAAGAAGAACCTAATGATAACGAGGTTGCCAGTTACCAACTTGTTCAGCCCCTTTCTGTTGAATACCCAGATGTTTCATCCAACTTGCTTGAGATTGATGACGTCCCCCACAATTCTGAAAAACTTGTATCACTGGAAAACAGTGTTGAAAGAGGGAGCAGTACCATTGAAGAAATTTCTACGTGCAATTCTGAAGATGAAGTTCCTGTGCAGAAGAGAAGAGAGAGAAGAAATGCTGATACTAAGAATCATGTTGATGATGTGGGAACGTTATGTAAGAACATATCAGAGAATGCTATTTTAGACACTGGCTCAACTGGATTTTCTATTCCGGAGAGTGTTGCTTTGCCTAGACTAGTATTGTGCTTAGCTCACAATGGAAAGGTAGCGTGGGATTTGAAATGGAAGCCAACTAATGCGCGTACTACCAAGTGCAAGCAAAGAATGGGCTACCTTGCTGTTTTGCTGGGCAACGGATCTCTAGAAGTGTAATTAAACTGCTTTAACTGTCTTCTGACATATATGCTCAGTTACTATACGTTTAATTTCTCTTGGTCTTACTGAGAGCTTTTCATGCTTGCTTAAGATTTAAAATAAGTTTATAGATATGGAAGTATGTTGGATAATCTCCTCGACGTTTCCTTTTGAGATCAATTACAATTTGTGTTGAATACGATACAGATTTTTACTGCTAAACCAAGAATCAGTTTCCATGGAATTGCTGACATAGTGGATCTGATTTTTCGACATGACTAGGTTGCTAGGATGAATGACGTTTTATTTGAGCATGCCATAACAGGAAAACTACTTTTGAAGTGTGTAGTTTTTGGATAAATTGTATAAATACAATTACACCATATACAAAGCTCTAGTTTCTGGTGAATGAAAAGTACGTGCCTTTAGTTTTTTTTATTTTCTATAGATATGATTTCTTTGTAGAGTTTGCTTTGGAATTTTTTTTTTTTTTAACTTCAAAAAATTAGTTCATAATTCTAGTTTTCATGTTTAATGTGACAGCACAATTGATTTAACTGACATGATGAACACACCATACTAGGTTCTACAACAAAATTATATCCCTCGGAGTGTATGTCTTATTCTAGTTTAATTGCTGTTCTTGCAACTTTGGTTGTTCTAAGGTTTTGACTTTTAATGTTTACTATGTGCCTCCCCAATGATTAACAATATTAGTTCTATATTAGTAACGGCACTATCTGACTATCCAATGAACTAATTGCAGTTGGGAGATTCCTTTTCCCCATGTAGTGAAGGCCATCTATTCTAATCTCAATGGGGAGGGTACAGATCCTCGCTTTGTGAAGTTGAAGCCTACTTTCAGATGCTCGATGTTGAGAAGTGCAGATACACAGAGGTATTCGATTTTTATTTTTAACATAATGACATGACAACTCTTCAAGTTTAACATGATGCAGTCTTTGCGAAAAGAAAAACCAATGTGTTCAGTATTGCTAAAAATTGAAGAGTAGAATAGGCTGCCTTAGAGATGGTCATTAACCTCTGCATAATTGCACATTACACCATCATCATATCTGGAAAACTTTTGAATGAAGTTCTTGGCATTGGCTATTGTTAGAAGAAATGGTGTTATGAAGTACGTTTAAGACTATTCAGTTCATTCTTGTTGAATCCAGGAATTAATCTTGGTTCCGCTTAATTTTGATATTTGGAGATTCTTACACTTTTTCCTTGCTGATCAACTACTCTTACTCGATACTTGATCCCGCAAAGGAAGAATTATATTATTCTGATTGGATTAAATTTAAGTAATGAAGCAAATATTTTCTTCAATTTTCTTTTCAAGTATACTCTGGGTTATTACGAGTGTTATTCTTTTAGTAAAATTGCATCTTGTGTTAGCTTATTTCTCACGAGTTTTTACTTTTTCCCCAACTGTCTTTGTTACTTCTAATTCGTATTCTATTGTTGGTGCTGCAGCATCCCTCTGACAGTGGAATGGTCGCCAACACCTCCTTATGATTATCTACTCGCTGGATGTCATGATGGAACGGTTATTATTTATCTTCCTTTCCTTTTATCGCTGTTCATTGCAAAATCAAAAAACGTAACGTTCTTTATGTGGTTCTCCTTGCATTTTGGAAGAGTTAGTTCTTCATGTGGTTTCAGAAATTTCTTAAATTGCTCATCATTCTTTTGATGAAATATTGTTTGAATTTTTTCTAATTTTTGTTTGTTATTGATACAACTTTTTACTGACTCAATTCCTGATCCAGTTTTGGGTGGTCCTGTCCCTTTTTGGTTTGAATTTTAATTTTATGATGACTAAAACATAATTCATCTATTCAGGTCGCCTTGTGGAAGTTTTCTGCAAATAGTACCGCTGAAGGTTGTTTTACTTCTCTAAATTTGTGTTTCTAATTCCTTCTCTTGATTGTATTTTAACAATTACAAGCAATAATGACATCATTCTCGTATTTTTTTTGTTCAGATACGAGGCCTTTACTTCGTTTTAGTGCCGACACAGTTCCAATAAGAGCGGTTGCATGGGCACCAAGTGAAAGGTTTGTAGTGGTAGAGTTCAAGTTGAACTTCTTTATCCTTTTATACTACTGCCGCACGCCAACCACCCCCCCCCCCCCCCCCCCCCCCCCCCGAAAGAAAAGAGGATAAAGATTGAAGAAAAAAGGGAAGTGTCATTTCGGTTGAAATTTTGTTACTGTTAATGCCGCTTATTTACATGATGGGGAAAACATCTTTACCTTTGATGACATAAGTAAGAACTGGACTATAACTACAAAATGGGTCAGATCATACACCCGTGGATATAAAAATAAAATCTAAGATGACGAGTCTAAATTTTCTTTTACTATCATTTTTATACTTTCTGATTAAAATTATAAATATTCATACATTTTCTTATTATGTGCAGTGAGCCCGAAAGTGAAAATGTGATACTAATTGCTAGTCATGGAGGCATAAAATTTTGGGACCTAAGGTTGGTGGAGTTATTTCTTTCATTTTATTTTTCATTAATTTTATTATTATTATTTTTTTTTTGGATTATAGGAAGTTAGTTGATTTTTTTGGGACAAAAAACTATATATATATATATAACCAAACTTTTTATTAGACATAATGAAAGAATATAAAAAGGGCATAATAAAGAAGTCCACTGGACAAGGTGAATGCTAACTATACAAGAAAGGCATCTTATCCAAAAAAATAACGCCTGGTGGAGAAAAGCTCCTATCCAAGGAATTTCCAAAATCATTTCCAATCGGCAATAAGACATAAGACACAAATGTGAAAGTCTAGATAACTTTTACACCATGACAAGGCAAGAAACGATAATGAATAGAAAAATCTATCGAAGCATCTTTTTGTTATTCTTGAAAGGTTATTCTTTTTCTTCCATGTGGACTGTAGGAAGGCTCTACTGAAGTTGTTTCTTAGGATTGAAAGAATTTTATTAATTTAATTGGAGAAACTTTTTTAATAGTATTAGGAGCCCATGCGATGCACTGTCTTCCACTTCCCAATTCAAGCATCCTTTAAAATGCTTAGTTTAATAATAAACACACTGAAGTTTGAGGCAATATCAAGATGATCCAATCGAAAATGACAAAATCAACCCTGTTCCATTCTCTTAGACATACCCGAGGGAAGATTTCCTTGAAACCGTTCGTTGCTTCTGGACCATTGCAATGCATAGAAACTTCCTTACTGGTGGACTGTAGGAAGGCTCAAAATGAAGTTGTTTCGTAGGATTGAAGCAATTTTATTAATTCAATTGGATCAACTTTTTAAATACTATTTCCTGCCCATGCGATGCATTCTGTCTTCCATGTCCCAATTGAAGCTTCATTGGTTTAATAACCAACAAATTCAAATATCTTGAGGTAATACCAAGATGTACCAATCAAAAATGACAAAACCAACACCCTGTTCCATTCTCTTTAGAAATACCTGGTTCCTTGAAACCACTCCTCCAACAATGGAGTAACTTCTTTACCAGTGCACTTTTGTTTTTGGGGAGTCTGTACAGCGGAGAGCTTACAGGCAAGATGCCTAGATATGACACTCCGACAAAGCTGCTGTGTGCTTTGTGAACGATCACTTGTTTCAATTATCACTTTGTTATTTCATTTACTCTGTGCTCATTGCATATGATTTAATATTTTTTGGTTTTCAGTTCATTTTATTGTTTCATTTCAATTCGGTGACAATCTGATATTAATCATTACAATATTATATCAGAGATCCTTTCCGTCCCTTGTGGGACCTTCATCCGGCACCAAGGATAATATATAGTTTGGATTGGCTTCCTAATCCTAGGTATATATTTTATCTTGATAGAACGCAGATTAGGCACATTAAGTTATTGTTTTACTAATTCTCTTTTATTTATGACCATATTCTTGTTAGATGCGTCTTTTTATCCTTTGATGATGGAACATTGAGACTTCTCAGTTTGCTAAAGGCTGCATATGATGTTCCAGTAACTGGTCAACCCTTCACAGCAATAAAACAAAAAGGTTTACACACTTACTGTTGTTCACCATTTGCTATCTGGAGTATTCAAGTATCAAGGCAGACAGGTATATCTGTAATTCTTGGTTTGTTAGCTTTGGTTTATTTCCCTTTTTAATCTACTTTTTAGGCTTCCTTCAAGTCTTAAAAACAATTTAAAAACACATTCTCATTGATGTGGTTATATGGCTTGTCTTGATTAATTTTCAGCCATATAGAAATAAGCAACAAATAGTACCAACAGGGGATTTGTGGATCGTAGTTCTTTCTTTTTCTGTATTAAATAATTTTTTTGGTAACAAAATGTAGTAGCCTTTTCTCGGTTACTGTCGGCTTTAACATCCAATTTGGTTTTACTTTTAAATTACCACACAATCAAATGAACTATTTGATTCTTATCATGTACATTTAAGATATAGCAACTGGTTTTTTCAGGCATGGTTGCTTACTGCGGTGCTGACGGAGCTGTTGTCCGTTTCCAGGTAAGTTCAACTTGCCCAATAGATTTCACTATGGAGATGAAAGTTTGCCTCTTCGGCACGTGCCATTCATTTGGTTTCAGTTTTTTATAATCTTAGCTTCTTGTAGTTCTGTTACTTTCTATAATCAACTTGCATTATTGATGAGTATCTATGTATTTGTGAATATATAATAGACTATTTTATTGAAGAGAGCAAGGGATTTTGTTAGGACCATACAACAACTCACACACTCGATTTAGATGAACTCAAATAATAGGAGAGACAGAATGCAAAGATAAATATCCTGATCAAAAGATTCTGGTTCCCTTCATTAGTTGGCAATAAATACTATAATGAAGGTGAATATTTATCCGGTGCTCTGATGGTTTTGGATGATCTCCTCAACACCAGGTCATGTGTCACTTGCTCCACTTATGGTTCATCAACAACAATCTCAAGAATTTATCGAGTTTTTGTAGCGACTTCACTAGGTGAATTTTTTTGCAACTCAATTTCAACTCCCATTTGCTTCATAGTCTCATAACCTTTCTTCTTTTCTTCTTTTTGTTTTTGTACATGACATTTTCATCAAATGTCACGTCACAACGTCTTAAAAGTTTTCTGTTTTTGTCATCCCAAAACTTATACTTGAACATGTCAGAACCATAGCCTATGAAGTAGCACTTCACAACTTCAGCATCACTCCCTGAACATATGCAGTGCAACCAAAAGTTCTCAAGTGAGAGTACTTGAATCCTTTTCCTGTCCATACCTCTTCTACCAACTTGAACTATAAGGGTAATGACGATCCACTATTTATCAAGTTGGTTGTTGTATTCATAACATAAGCCAAGAATGTCTTTGACATTCCAGAATGCATCGTCATACTCTTTGCCCACTCATTTAATGTTCGGTTCATTCTTTTAATGACACCATTTGTCTTGCCATATCGGGAACGGTCTTCATTAATATGATTCCTTGAGTTGCACATAACACTTTAAATTCTGACTTGTTGTACTCTCTTTCATTGTCAGACCTAAACACATAATCTTCAAACCCATATGACTTTCAACTTCAACTTCCATCCGTTGGAGGTGGCAAACCCATTTTATTTGTGTTTCAAAAAATAAAACTATACATTCCTTGCTGAAATCATCAATGAAAGCAACGTAAAACTTAGATCCACCAATTGATGGAGCTGGAGATGGTTCCCAAACATATGTATGGACCGTTTCTAACTGTACTTTCTTCGGTTCTCTGACAACCTTTGTGAAACTAACTCGTTTTTGTTTGTCCATAACACAACTTTCACAAAGATCTATATCAACAGTTTTCATGCCTTCTAAAACTCCTATCGTAACCAGCATCTTCATTCCTTTGACCATGTGCTACCACTATTGTACCCTTTTTCACGAACTTCTTCCAATCTTTGTTGCATAATCTATGCTGTCTAGCTGACCAATAGATATCAGATTCTTCTTGAGACTAGAAATATTTTTGACCTCCTTCAATATCTAATGGACATCCTTCGATATCTGATGATTTCTTGCTGGAGTTTGTATGCAGATATCTCTCTTTCCTTTAACCTCAAAAAATTTGTTGTCAGCAAGATACACCTTCCCGAAATTTCAAGATTTGAAATTTTGAAACAGTTCCTTGTTCGGAGACAAATGAAAAATCCACTTGAATAAAAAATCTAAGATTCAGTTGGACTATCCACACTAAGGATTAGAGTATCCTCAGTATCTTATGTTGGATATGCAGAATCATAGGCATCTTCAAATTTGTGATTCAGCTTCTCTTCAGTTTTGTACAATCTGTTCGAAAATGGCTTGCAATATGTTGAATATGATTTTTTTTTAAAATACAATTCTAACACGCTACGGTTGGTCTGTTGGAAGATTTTCCTCGATTCTGTGATTTTGATTGGCATGTATATTTGGGCCTTGAGTTACTTCCCCTTCAATCAACGTTGAAAGTATTGCCCGATAGATCCTCAATTTCTCGTTTGCAAATACTTTTGTTGAAACTGAAATCGGATCCATCAAACTTTACGATCCCAATCTTTGAGCTTTCCATCTTCAGATCATGGTGAAGATCTCCTAGCTCGCTTTGATACTCGTTGTTAGGATAGCAGCAACTCACACAGATGAACAAAAATAACAGGGGAGAGAGAAAGCAAGGAGAAATATTGGCTAAAGGAGAAATATTGGCTTGAGGTTTATAAAAGTACATCTTCAAGGCACTATCCATGGGTATATATACAGTTTATTATATATATATATATATAAATAGATATAGTCATTTATTTACATAGCTATTTACTATATATGACCATTTACCTTGTCACTTACCCTACATAGCCATTGATGAGCTCTAAATAAGCAGTAGACTAACTAACAATGATAAGCTATACTCTATAAATAAGCAGTAGACTAACTAACAATGATAACAATGATAAGCTATAGTAGACTAACAACATAAAGATAAAAGAGTTACTTGTCCATACAAATAGCTGAGGAGTTGGTATATGCTTACTTTCTCTTTATGCGCCACAGATTGAATTCGAGGATAATTGGTACATACATTTAACACACTTTCATGTTTAATTTGTCAGCTTACTACGAAAGCAGTAGACAAAGAAAATTCACGCAACCGCACCCCACATTTTGTATGCGAATATTTAACCGAGGAGCAATCAATTATTACAATCCACTCTCCAGCATCAGATGTTCCAATCCCTTTGAAAAAGCTGTCCAACAAATCTGAACAGCCATTGTCCATGCGAGCTATTCTATCTGATTCCATGCAGCCAAATGAAGGAAATGATAAAAGTGCCACAACTTCAGCATTGGAAAATGAATCAGCCCTTTGCTATGATGATGATGTCGGCGTTGAATCTGGATCTGAGGATACGCCGATGTCTATTCAGAATAAAAACCAAACTCAATCAAAGAGCAAGAAGAAGGGAGTGGTCAACCAAGAATTGGAACATAGCCATGAGCCTAGTGATTCACAGACAGATGATGACGTAGTGCCTGGTTTGGGGGATCACTTCGAAAATTTCCCCCCCAAATCAGTTGCATTGCATAGACTGAGATGGAACATGAACATTGGGAGTGAAAGATGGCTGTGCTATGGGGGAGCAGCTGGAATTCTACGCTGTCAGGAGATTGTGCTGTCTGCCCTCGATAAGAAGTTGATGGCAAAGAAATGAACTTTACTCGAAAAAATGGCTTTGCCAAAATGTTTGTGCAGCTGATTTTCATGAGGCGACGCTTGCTCAATTCAGTGTACAGTCAATTAGATCAGAAACCATGGTGCCTTCATCCTTGAGGGGCCAAATTATGGGAGCAGCCAAAGGAATCAGAGAGCATGACCTTAGGATAACTGAAGACCATTAACTGTGGAAATTAGTTGAAAGGAGTTCAAGAGCCGAAGCAGATGATTTGATCTGGGTTTTGGGTTCAGTTGAAAAGCAACGAGAAAAGAATTGTTGGAGGAACCTCAGCAGCCATGATTAAATAAACTGTATCTTTTAGCCAATAGTGTATTCTAAAATTAGTGACTCAAAGCTCATCTCCTTAGCTTACAGGAGGAGTCGGGTTTATAACGTCATGGGAGGACAGTTTAGCTTCTATCGGGCTCGATTACCTGAGGAAGAGATGGGGTTTGTTTTCATCTATGAACTTCCTTTTTCATATGCACATTACCAATGTATTTCGTAATGTTTTTGTTTCTTGAAATTGTTTCTAAACTTTACACTGAAAAGGTTTACGTATAAGAAATGGGACTTTTGTTGTATGCATGGCAAAATAATCTCAATTAATTGCTACCAAGGCAGGACAATCCAATGCCTTTTTGAGTTTTTCTGCATCAATTCCATTGATGATCGGAGAAAAATTAGAAGAGAACGGCGGCGCATCCAGGCCTTATATACGACCCCTCTCGCATCTCTTACCTCTCTTTCCTCTTCTCCAATAAACGTACGCTGGCTCCAACGCCCTCAACTACCCCTCCATGTACATGTCAGCTCCGGCCCGTCGATGTACAAGGCTAACGTCAAGTCGCCGGCGGGTCTGCCGGTGAGAGTCTCGCCGGGGAGTTGAAGTCTGATCGGCCGAACATAAAACGATCGTTTGATGCCAGCGGATGAGGACTGAGAAGGTTCCTTAGACGGCTTCACTTGAATGGGATGATTCTAAGCAGAACGTTGGGAGCCCAATTTTGGTGTTTAAGGTTTCAGTTCATTCGTTCATATTTATTTATAATTGAGTTCTGATTGACCTCTAAAAACCGATATAGAAAGTTGGGCACCAAGTCCTAGGACAACAACTTTTCAATTTATTGAACTGTAGCCAATCCCATAAAGGGCGTCTTTGAAGTAGCCATAAGAGGATTTAAATACAGAATTCTTACACTCTCCTCCTCTTTGCTGCCCTTCCAAATCCAACTCAGTCATCAGTATCCATCCATCTCATTTCATTTGTTAGATAACTAACTCATCGGAACAGACGCGAAAAAAAATGCCCCGAAATGTAAATTTCCTTGCCCATCACTGCTGGCTACAACTAACAGCATGATGTCGGCGCTCTCTGAGCTTCGGAACAAAACCACCGAGAACGCCTCAAAAAGAAAGCCTGAACTTTGGTGATGTTTCAATACTCTATGCTTGCCTCTGCCAACAAAAACCAGTGAATACAGGACTTCACACAGATATGATTGTTGACAACAAACAGTTGTTGAACTCCCCAGCTATATAGATCAGAAATGCATACGGCAAGGACGAGTGTGAAGATTCTTTAACTTTGTTAGTTCTTTTCTTCTCCTCCTTGCCTCAGTTGCAGCCATTGCATCTATGGTTTTCTTACATGAGACTAACTCTGGTTCATGCTTTTTTTCTGCCAAATGACATAAGTCATCACAAGTTCTTGATGACAGACCGCGATCATCTTCGCTCGGTTTATCTTGTTTGACAGTGGAAGTGGGTTCAATACATTCAAGTCTCACAGGAGAAAGCACTTTCCTAACTTTATCTCTTGTGTCGGCTTCAAATCGATCCACAACTACTCCAACTGTGTTCTGAGTATGATCCTTTAGACTCGGGGCTTCATTCAAGTCATGAGCTTCGTTTTTCTCTTCAGCTGAAGGCAAAGAAGAACGTCTGCTTTCTGCACGCACAACAACCTTTGAAGTATAAGCACTGTTCTGAGAATTCGAATAAATACACTCTTGAATATTTCCTGCTGGACACGAGTTTTGAGAACTCTGTTGATTCCTATGATCATGATGAGGCAACAACCAAGAACAAGGTACTATACAAAAGGGTGTTCTCAAGCCAGTGACATTCGTAAAGTTTTCTTGTACATGGGAAGAGTCGGATACATAAACAGTATTATTAGAAGGCGAACGAACACTTGGCGGGACGACTGCAACATTGTGTAGGTCATGATACGGACTTGAAGGTTGAACCACTGACGGCCAGAAATACGATGCATATGGAGGGCGACTAAAAAAGAAAAGAGGGTAGTTGGTAGGTAAAGGAGGAGTCTGAACATGAGATGATCTATTGTTTCCTGGGATTTCCTCCATTTTGGGCTCTGCTTGAGCAATCTAAACAAACGAGCGAGCAAGTGAATCCTTGGGAGATTTGGAAAGACCATGACTATACACATTTCTTAAATGCAACCCAATCCTACCTGTTCCTTCAATTCCTTGTTAGTAATCTCCAGAGATTGGTATTCTTTCAGGGCCAACTCCTTTTCCTTGATTGTCCAAAGATCACAAGATGAAAGTAAATAAAGATCATGACAAACAGAAAAATTTAAGAATTTAAATGTGTTGCGAAAGCCTACCCTCTTTAAATTTTCGTTCTCCCATGCCAAATCAGAAGCCTTTTTGGTCAAGTCCTCGCACAGAGTCTGCATAATAATAACCAACCAAATGCAAGAGCAATTTCAATGAAGTAACAATGTAATACGAACTCTCATCACCAAGTTTAATACCCCAAAAGATATCCAACCAACCAATCCACTAAGGAGACTTAGATCACTTTTAAGGCAATAATTCAGAATGATTTTGTGGCTACCTCTGCTTGAAACATCTACTTTTTATTAACAAATTAAATCATAATAGCACACTTAACTGACAACGTTAACCCTTTCTTGACGGTGTCGAAGAATAAAAATCATTCCCTAGATCAAGTAAGGATGTTTATCTCCCTTGAACTTGTTACTGAGGATTAAAGTTGGGAATGTGAAGAAGCCAACACCAGTTACATTGCACTGACAATATGAGTATGGAGTACAGTTAATCATACAAATAGCTTCCAAACATACAGCAATCCAGTTGAAAAATAGATAAATTCCAACAGTCTATATAGCAATCAAGTTGAAAATATAGGCAAATTTGAAGCACATTTTTATTAATTACATGTTTCAAGTACTATTATATTTCTGGTTTGGAGCCTGAAACTCCTCTCTACTGCTGAACAAGTAGCTAAAGACATCCACAGATGGTTCAGAGAAAGAAATAGAAACCCACAACCAAAAGAATGAAAACAAGAAAGAACAGTAACCTTCATCTTGGATTAAGGTATTTGCATGATAGAATGTCACAATAATGTCCTAAACAAGCCAAAATGAGCACAGTTCAAGCCAAAATGTGCATAGTTCAACAGTAATGAGCATAGTTCAACAGTAATCAGCAATGCATTCCTGTCTCATTCGTCAAAATTTAAAATCCCGAAACCCCAATTGTTGTACTCAAAATGAACATATGATAAACTATAAAACCAAAGAATACATGTTGGAGAGAAATTCTCTGAACCTGCCTACGACGAATTGTCTGCCGTGCTGATTCTCTGTTTGCTAAAACCCTTCGTATTCTCCTTTCTTCCTTCTCAGCCTGAAGAAGAAGAAAGCTGCTAATGAAAAGATTGAAAACATAAAGTAAGATCCCATGGGAAGCAGTTAGCAAGCATAACCTCAGTCAGATTACGCCTTGGCCTCCGGCAGCCAAATAATGGGTGGCTTAGTTTAGGTGATTCGACCTCCTTCTCCGCCTTAATCATCTCTTTGGTTGTTTCCCACTCAGGATGGGAGTGATCAGCGCATTCCTTTTCTGATGGCTGATGACTTATCACCCCTCTATCCTGCTACAAACAAAATCATAATGTCAAGGCCTGCAGAAGTAATGCAACTCCGAATCAATGCTTTTAGTTTTTTTACTCAAACACCACAATACGAACAGCATCGTAATACAACTTTACTTATAATAACACAGATTGGGACATAATTTGTAAAGACAAATGGACTTTGTAGAAACAACCTGAATTCGAAGGTCCAGATCCGCGCGACTAGGTAAAGAGTCGACGAAGGCAGAAGTCGGCGACTCGGTCTTAACCTCCTTCCTGGCCCGTTTCCCTTTCTTCCCTTTAATCCGCCATTTGGTTTCCGACGGTTCTACTCCACTATCTCTGACCGCCAAAACCGCCAAATCTTCAAGAGCCTCCGCCGCCTCAATCTCAACCTTGACCATCTGATCCGCCTCCATGGAGGAGGAAGAAGACGAACGTGTAGAAGAAGAACTCAAACCCGAACAACTGGTCGCCTCGGAGCACTTGGAAGAAGAAGCCATGAAAAAAAAAATCGAAGGATAATAAGAACCAGAGAAGAAGAAGATGAAGATGAAGATGAAGACTGAAGCGTGAGAGTGTGAGAGAGAAAGAGCGCGTGTGTTTGTTGCTGAAAACTTACGCGCATCCACGTATTGGTGTATGCCACGTAATGATTCAGCGCTCGTAGAAATGTTACACGTGGCAGGATACGCCGTACGAGAACTGTAGGCCACGGTTCAGGGAAAGCGTCGGTGTGTGGCTTCTCAATATAATATCCACGTGGCTTTCTTTTTCCTTTTTAAATTACTTTTTATTTATTTATTTATTTGTGTTTGTATTGGATAATGATCAAAAGGGCAACCCCGGAAGAGGGAAAAGCTCCAGCGTGGCAGCAGGACAGCCTTAAATCGTCCTTTCTTTTTGCGTTTTCTTAAATTATGATAATTTTTCATTTAATTACAAGTCTAATAACTTTATTTATTAAAGAGTTAAATTAATTTTATTTTCAATAAATAAATTAAAATGTGAATTGTTTTATTAGAGGTAAAATACAGTGTTTAAGGATTTATTTGATATTTTTTTAAAATGGATGTATATGTTAACATATAATTAAAAATTTAAAGACCGGTTACATTCCAAATGGTTTACAATAGCATCATGGACCCATTGCTACCATTGAAAGTACCCTTTGTCGAAGTTGTGGGGGTCGGAAAACCTGACGACATCCTCTTCGACGGGGTTGGGGGAGACCTCGGAGATAGGTTAACAAGCTCCAATGCCTGTGCTCGAAGCTCAACCGGGTAGTCAGCAACACATCCAATTCTCGGACCAGCTCCAGTTGTCCATTTGAGTGAAAGCTGATGGCCTAACTGATAAGAGTTCGCTATCTTCTTCGAGTTGATTCTCTGCAATATCGCCTTCTCCGGTACGTAGGCTCTCGGGCTCTTCAGGCCACCAGATAATGTCCTTTTGTATTCTCCTTTGCCTCCAACTTGAGAGATCTGAGCTGATTTTGAGGAAGTTTTGATGTCAAGTGCTTCTAGTTTGCCCACAAAATCGGCCTTTCTTTGACCTTGTCTCACTGGTTTCAGATCATCATAGCTTTCAGAATTTTCATTTGAGCGATGAACCTGAGGCACAGCAGAACACAACGGACGTAAAATGGCTTCATTTATCATGTAGGAGCTAATTCTCAGCTTACAAGACTAATAATGGGTGGCGCAAGTACCTCCACATTCTTGAGAACCACGCCGTTTTCCTCGAGGAACATCAAGAAGACGTTGAGATGGTCATCAGTGGGCTTATAATGTCCACTATATGCTGAGATTGCCTGAAAACACCAAAGCCATCAGAGGATGAAACTTTCTAGATGAGCAAACTAGGATCGCACAACCAGACTCAATCGATTTAGATGAACACAAAGAACATGAGATGCAATGAAAAATATTGACATGGATGACTTCAAGAATGTACAGTATGCAGAAAGTACATCTTCAAACCACTGTCTAACGGTATATATATGGTTCAGTTTAATATATATATATAACTTTAAGAGATATAGTGTGAGATCTCATATTGTTTGGAGAGAGGAACTAAACATTCTTTATGGACGTGGAAACCTCTCCTTAGTAGGCGTGTTTTAAAACCTTGAGAGGAAACTCACAAGGAAATTCCAAATAGGACAATATCTAGCGGTGGGCTTGGATGTTACAAATGGTATCAAAGCCAGACACCGGGCGGTGTGCCAGCGAGGACGTTGTGCCCCCAATGGAGGTGGATTGTGAGATCCCATATCGGTTGGAAATGGGAACAAAGCATTCCTTATAAGGGCATAAAACCTCTCTCTAATATACATTTTTTAAAACCTTGAGAGCAAGCCCAAAAAGGAAAGCTTAAAGAGAATCATATCTACCAGAGGTGTTTAAAACTTTGAGAGAAAGATCAACAGAGAAAGTCTAAAGAGACAATATCTGCTAGCGGTGGGTTTAGACTGTTACATATAACAATTTACTATATGATCATAGAATTACCTTAAGAACTCCATCATCTACCTCTAGCCTCCCAGCAGCCAACGTGGCTCCGCCTGCCAAGAAACTTGAGTGGTGGAAAGCTCCCTTCTTCTTCTGAAAAAAGAGAATGAATCCATTACTTCACTATACCATATACCGCTGAAATGGAATTGCACCTCAAGAAGGTTGCATCCTCACCTCACCAGCATAAAGCTTCTTAAAAGTGCTCATTACAAATATCCACTTGGTTCCTTTTGATCCTCTCTTTGTATCAAGAAACCTTCCATTTTGTTTATGGACGATTTTCCCATCCACAATGATATATTCATAGTTTTCTCGCTCTTGCTGATGATATCAGTAAATGAATAAGTCAACATATAAGTTTTAGCTTAAAAGTTCATCAAATATGAATCAAAAAGACAACATACAGGTCCAAGATACTTGATGGTTTGCTGTCGGAGCTTCGATCTTGGGCATTCTTTAAGGTCAACATCTTTTCCATCTCCAATATCAAGCCTACAAAGTTTGAATAGCAAAAAACTCAGACAACAAATGGGAAGGATCTTTTAAAATACAAAAAAAAAAAAAAAAAAAAAAAAAAAAAAAAAAAAAAAAAAAAAAAAAAAAAAAAAAAAAAAAAAAAAAAAAAAAAAAAAAAAAAAAAAAAAAAAAAAAAAAAAAAAAAACAGTCAACAAAAGCAATTACCAGTAGAAAAATGGCTGACCAGCTTCTGCTTTACGCCATTCTTCATAGTACAAATGCAAACTATGTCCATATCTATGTCTTGGATCAATCTGAACAGGAAAAAGACAACAAACAACGTATTAAAACCCAATACTGTTCTTCAAATTTTCCAACGAAGCTTCCACTTACAGCTTCGATCCAATGCTGAAAAGCAAGTTTCTGAGCTTTGGAATCCTTCGACAGCCCCTTTCCCACCTACATAAACTTCAAATGATTCCATCAAAACCCGTTTTCAAGTCCATAATTAAGGACCAAAATAGGTTAGAAATCCCACCTTCGAAGCATTCAAAGTGACTCGGTTCCAACGAGAAGAAGCCGATTCAGGTTTCAAGAAATTGAAGAAGGAAATCGTACTGTGATTCAATCTAGCGTAGTCTAAAGCAAACCACCTTCAACAATTTTCAGGACAACAATAAATTGATATTCCCCTGTTTCTGTTATGTATGCAGTGTGCGTGTGTTCTTACAAAAACATAACTAGAAAGTAAACTCAAATCAATTTCTCATTTACCAAAGCTCTTCGACGACAACGGCAGAATCCGCCAACAGTCGGCGGGTCCGGTAACTCCTGTACACTTTCTGCAGCTTCACCGCCGACCGCTGCAGTGCCGCGTCCACGTCATCACAGCCGTCGCCGTATCCGTTGATCATCTGTATCGGTTTCGCGACCACGTTTGAGGGATCGCCAGCGAATGCGTCCCGTTTCGAAGTACCAGTCACCGGAGCGTCGCCGGAAGAAGAGAGTTGGGGATTTTCAGGAGGAAGAGAGTATATGCCGGTGGAGTCGAGAGGGTATGAGAACGGAGTGCGGTCCAAGGACGTTGAAAGGGGCTGCGATTGAACCTCCATTATCGTAGTTTGTTGACTGATCTGCGAGAGAGAGGAAGAAGACGATGGGAATAAAAATTGGGAGCAAAACGAAGAATGTATCGTATTTATGAACGTCGATTTTGAACTTTGAGGTCCGTTTATTTTATTTTATTTTATTATTAAAGAAAAAATCATTAATATAAAATATTTTAAATTTTATTGTCGTCACATCACGGATGAATATAAACAAATAATTAAAAATCTTTTTTTTTTTTAGCAAAATATATATAGTTTGAATTAATTTGTGTATGTTATCCAAACGATTATTATATTTTAACAAATTAAACAGAAAAATTTATTTATAAAGAGATTATAGGTAATAAAATTATATATTAATATTTTTTTTAATTATGCGAACGAAAACTAAAAGTCGAGTAAATACGAATTAGAATAAAGAAATTGTTGCCCACAAAATAAGGAATAAGAATGCCGTTGTCGTTTATTCATATTCATTGTCTAAGAAGTATTATTCGTAGTTTTCTCGTTGTTAATCGCAAGCTCAATACCAACTAGCCATTTGTTCTTTTTATAAAAAAAATGTGGTAATTTTTTTTTTTTTTATATTTCATTATAAATGTATTTAAATCTTTGACTTTTGAATTAATAAGTACATGATTTAATCCGCTAAACTATGTTTAAGTTGACTTTTGTTATTAGAATGGTAAGAGATCGAACCATAATTCATATTTTATCTGTCGAGTTATGCTTGAATCGACCCGTTTACTTCAAGTCCTCATATTAAACAACATTAATTTAAAAAGTATGAACAATAATGAGTTGGTGACGGTGGTTTCATATTTAGTGAAAAAATAAAAAGGTATAATTTCCAACATTTTGCACAAATCACATGCCAAAAATAATAGGAAGAACGCTTCAAATTTGTGTTCTAACTCTTTTTTATTTTTAGAAAATAAAAGATTAAAAATAAAATAAATGTGGATATTATTGTAATATTTTCTCAAAAATGAAAAATTACCGAAATAGAAGCAGTTGAGATGTAATTGACACGTACTCTATTATTTTATTATTATTATTTTTTTAAGTTTATTGTAATATAGGAGGGAAGATTATCTTAATTATTATTATTATTATTATTTTTTTTTTTTTTTTGTGATGGGTCCCATTCAAAATATTTAATTCAATTGCATGGGTAAAATGTTTTTCACGTGAACATGTAAACTTTTCAAATAGAGATAATTGGTTTATTTTATTTCTAAAAAATAGCGATATAAAATCATTTTTAATTTGTTTTCATTTGTTATAAGTTAAAAATAGACCAATTTCTACTTTACATTTTGATAAGTCACATGAAAAGTTGACTCGAGAAAATAAATATATAATCTTTAAGAGCATAGAGATTTTATAATTTTTTTAAAATAAATAATAAAGATAAATGAGCACGAGGCTAAATTTTATAATATTTAAATAAACAATAAATAAGTAAAGTAAAGTTTTTGCATAATAATGGAGATGAAAAAACATGTTCAGTGTGATGGGTTTGGCATATTACTATTAATTATCCAAATTAAATAATTCTTTTGATGTAAGCAAATTAGATGTGGAAACCTAATGAAGCAAACCATAGCCAACAAATTTTTTTAAAATTTTATATTGTTTTTGTATGGCCCATGAATTATTGGTATCTTTTTGTTTAATTCTATCATTGACTCTTGTTTTCATTAGTTTATGATATTAGAAGTCTAAATAATTGGATTTGGCACATAATTGGTGTAATTCTAGTAAGAAATTAAAAAAATGGAATTTAAAATCACAAACCTAAGTTGGGACACTGAAAAAGACTTAAAAGCCCCTTTGGTTTCCATGTTAGGTAGGCCAAATGACTACGGGAATTTTGTCTATTTCTTTGTTGGTTTAGGAAGGTAGGAGCCGAAGGAACTTAAAAAACAAAAGCTATTTATTTTCTTTCTTTCTCCTTTCCTCACATTTTGAACATCCCAAATTAAATTCATTTTTGTCCCACAGTCTTGGTCTTGGTCTTGTTGGGAGGTTTAAAAATTCTGTCCACATTAATTATAAAGATGTAGAAACTATTTCTAATAGATGTGTTACATAAGTTAGAGAGGGGAACGTTAAACTAATGAAAATAGAAACAATAAAACAATAGAAAAAGATCGAGGAGAATATGACGAGTCATAAATGATATACTTCACCTTTTTTTCACAAAAAAATTCCTATGTAATTTCAATGATATGAAAGGGTTACTTTTTTTTTAATTCCTTTAACGAGAATAAAAATATGAACGTCGGTCTTATCGGTCTTTTCAGACAGGTGTAAAGTAGGGTTACACTATTTACCTTTATACTAACTTCAAATACTTTTAATGCAAAAATGTGTCAATATTTGAGACAAAAAAAAAAAAAATTGTGATAAAAGTCAATGACCAATTGTCTAAAGTTCTAATATTGAGGCTTCAGTGGACCCTGCATTGAAATTAGTAGAACAGGGCCAATCAGAAAAGTATCAAAGGATATGGTAAATCTCATGAAGTTGTTAAAAGTTAGCAAGAAATCAGGTAATTTGGAAGCTTGGAGGGCATATTTTGGTAAGGCAAGCCATTTTCAGAGTTTATCAAAGTGCAATCAAATGTAAACACTGTAACATTAAAAGAAACAAAAACCAAACTTAATATTTATGGATATCACAATCATCAGCAATCTCAATTCATTTTGATAAGTACATGATCAACTAAACAAGTTTTCAAACCTTGGAGGCAAAGCTGAGCCCTTCTTTGGCAAGCTGATCCAAGCTCTCAACTGATGGTTGGACTCGTGCAAGCTTGGCAATGGCCTTGTATTCATCTGCCGTTCCACCCTCCAAGAAAACTCCAACTACCTTGCCATCTTTGACCCAGTAGGTTCCAAACTTGGGTTCTGCAGATTCTGGGTTGTTGTCCCCAAATAGGATGGCCTCGCCGACGTTGTCGCCGTAGAATTGCCATGAGAGGTTAAAGGAGCGAGAGTAGAAGTATGGAAGGTAGTCGTATTCCTCGATGGAATTTCCCTCTTCCTTTGCCTTGATGACCTGTTAGGAAAAAGATGTGAAAAACAAGGTTTATATGATGATAGATTAGGATCTTATGAGTTGTCAAATGAAATTTTCAAGGGATTCAACACACCTTCACAGCCTGCTCAGCGGATTTGCGAGCGTGATCAACATGTTCGACTCGTCTCAACTCATTGTATAGCTTCAAAGGATAAGTAGCCACGTCTCCCACAGCATACACATCAGGAATGCTTGTTTTGAAGAATCCATCAGTCTGATATCAATAAGCTAATGCATGAGTTGTGAAAATTTGACTACCAAATCCATGTGTTAAAGGAACTTGGAAACGACGAGGAACTTTTTAACGCTAAGAGAAACTGGTAACTACTAATATTACGTGTATAGATTAAATCGTAGTTCTAGTCGAGTGTAACGTGGTTTTTAATTTGATCTCAAATATTAAAGTTTTAATTGAGATATCAAATTTTAATTTACCACTGTCCATATGCAGTAGTTTTCATGAAATGGGAATTGTGTCCATATATGCAGTAGTTTCCATGAAAAACAATGATGCATATCTAAATTCTTTATATAAAGATTACTTCATAATGCAACAGTACAAATGGAACTTTAAATATCTCAAGACCAAAACATTTTGCCTAAACAAGTATATAGTTTAACTAAAATCACAACAATGTTGGTGCTCGGAAAATTTATTAAGAAAAAGCTAAATTAAGCATACTAACCTTAATGCCTCCCTTCTCTTCTTCGACCTGTCCTTTAAATAAAGATATCAAGGGTCTGCCTCCGACACCCACAACAACAATGTCAGCATCAAGACTCCTGCCATCTTTGAGTTCGACTTGCTTCACCTGAAAGATCGGCTAAGACTTGTTGTTTTTCTAAAAAGCATCATCAACAAGCAGGAGGCATAAGATAAAAGCTACAAACCTCTCCATTTGAATCTGAGGTAAAACCAACTGCTACTGTTCCCTTGATTATATTGATTCCTTTGTTCTTGTAAAAGCCTTCATAGAAGGCAGCTATACCAGCTGTGAAAAGCCTAGGCACTGCAGGAACACAAGCCACAAGAGAAGACTTACGGGTTTGACCAAAAGAAAATTCTATAGGGTAAGGAGGGCAGGAAATGGGGTTAAATAACAATCTGTTCTGTATTTAGTACTTACTGCACCATGGTTCAGGGTAGACCATAGTAACATCAAGATTGTTTATCTTTAGAGCTGCACCAAGTTCAAGACCGATGTAGCCTCCTCCAACGATCACAGCCTTCCCGTTCTTCTTCGCTTTAATTGCTTCTACGAGCTTGTCAGCATCATCAACCTCTCTCAAATAGAAAATGTTTTTAGCATCAGCTCCTTGTACACCAAAATCTGACAATCTGATGACCTACAAGACGACAAAAAACAGCATAAGTTAGATCTGTAATAAGAACAGATCAACACAAGTGCTTTTTGTCAGTGGATGAGTTTTTACAGTGGAACCGGTTGCAATGATCAAAATTTGATACTTGAAGGTGTCACCAGATGAAGTAGAGAGAGCCTTTGCAGCGAGATCTGCCTTCACTATCTCCGTGCTAAGGATCAGTTCAATCCCTGAAGTATAAGTAGCTTAACGATCAGAAGAAATTTAACAAGACTAATGCCAACAAGTAAACCTAACTAAAGAACCAAAAAAGAATTTCTTCGATAAGAAACAACTTTCATTATCTAAGAAGAATAAAGGAAAATGCAAAAGAGGGGAGATGAGGTATCCCCACGCATCCAATGATTACACAAAAGTTTTCTAACCGGTGAGTAATTGAACTATGCTATAATTTCAAAACAAATAGGACGATTGAGGAAAAGTACAAAGTAAAAAGGCAACCATGGGTTTGCAGCAGGTAAAATAAGGAACCATTACCGTTTTCTTTGTACCATTCTGGTAAAAGTCTCTCTCCTCCACTTCCAACACAGACGTGGAATCCTGGAAGTCTAGCAGGAGCTGAAGAAACAGACTTGTCAAGTTGCAATGTGAAATCGAACAGATAAGATCAAGTTAAGTACT